TCCGTTTGCTAAAGACATCGAAAAGGGCCACAATACGAATGTTGTGCTCCAACTTGCGGTTGAAATGAACCTTGTGCGTGCCAAGAACATTCTCATACTGGGACACCACCTTCTCCGTTACCTATCCAAATGTACATCGGTCGGCAACATACAAGTCGACAGACTGGATAGCACGTCTTTGTTTCCAACGGCGAGAAATTCTATCCCATTGATCTGGAGTTGCGAGGACCAAATGGCTCGACGAAAGTAGTGCTAAATCGACTGTTGGGTCGCCAGAAAGACAATTGATCTCTTTTGGTGGATCTGTCAACCCATGAAATCTCTTAGACCAAGATTTGCCTACTCGTTTGAGTTTCTCCAAGTTTGGGTTCAAGTAGACAATTCGTCCTCCACCCGCTCTCCAATGGGCTAAAACAGCTAGCTCGGCACACACCGTCTTGCCGTTGTTTTTGGACATACCAACTAACACATTATGGCTAGTCCAATACAAGGCATTGAATGCTTGTGACTGAAAACGATTAAAGTAGCGGAAATCAAAGCACTTGCTGAATGCCTCATTTTTCAACTCTGAAGTTTCAACACTGTGCAAGTCCAATAGTTCTGTAAATGAAGACCCTTTCTTTGGCACCTGGATATTATTCAACATGAGCGGAATTCTGGTCTCGCAATTGATCCAAGACTCGCTAATTACCAGTGCAAAATATTGAGGTTGTTCTGGGTCCATGAACGGAACAGCAGCCTCGATAATATGGGGCTTTTGGGCATTTCTTCGGTAAACGGTAAAGTTATCAGAGAAAAGAATGGTTTCTCCATCACAGTCTTCGATCAACAAGAGGAATCTTTGCAGATTTCCATGCAAATTAACGTTCCAATTGAAATTCGGTACGATCTCAAATTGCACTCTGATCATCTTGGAGGTTATTGGCTGGAGAAGGTAGTCCATTTTATTTCTGGGAAATTGCTGCAACAACTGATGAACTTTCTGACTGTTACCTTTGAATGCGATGGCTTCTGCTAGCTCGCTTGCTTCAAGATCAAAGTAGCTATTCCAAGGCAAATGAGAGCCCTCGGCGGCTCTAATGATTTGTGGAGATGCAAGTTCACCAAATTGTCTTAAAGGCGAGTTTACAAGCCACATCCGGCGCTCCACCATTTTGCAAACATCTAGAGTGGTACGTGCAATTGCAGACCATTTTTTCTTCAAGGCGATTTCATGAAGTGCTCGGAAAAGACGTCCAGCAGATTGGGTAATATACACCATATCTGCCACCAATGCAAACCCATCAAGGGACAAACGGGAGATGTATGTTTGTAGAAGGACGTTGACTTTGGCTATTGGCTCGGTTGCAGCTTCTTTTATTGGAATAGGGCATTTTTGAGCAAGTTTGGTTACCTCGAGTTTTTCCTCTTGACGAATAGGTATCAATCTGAACTCTCCAGACATGCAAAAGATCCGGAAAACATCCACTATCGTCAGCCATGACTTGAGATTATTATTGTAGGCACTGATAGTTTCATAACCAATGTAGAAATGAGACGCTATCTTTCCTAGTTCCGTCAGTTTTATGGCTCCGCTCTCCATATCGTACTGTACCATTTTGTGCCTGTGAAGGATCTGAAGAGCTGAGTGTGAGAGATCTTCCCTTTTGTCACTCAAAAGTTTGTCGTCAGCATAATCGGCTCCAACTCTATAAAGAGCAGGTGCACGGAGCATTCGAATGTACAAATAGGTGTAACTGAGCCACTCCACAACCTGCTGTCTTGTAGTTACACTTCCCAAAACCACTTCTGCGTTGATAATGTCGACCAATTTCAGCATCATTTGAGACTCGATAGGAAGCTGCTGGTTGAGAATAGCCAAGTAATATTGAATATCGTCCAGCGATGTAATTATCACACCTTCTCCACTCTTGTCATATCGAGGTCTTCCAGCTCGTCCGAGCATCTGCAATATGTCTTGCGGTGAAAGTTGAACCCAAGAACCCAATTCTGGAGAATACGTTTCTGTGCCTTTAATGACAACTGTATGAGCCGGAAGATTGACACCCCACGCTAGCGTCGCGGTAGATACCAACACTCGAATGTGGCCCTGGGCGAACAAGTCTTCCACTAAAGACCTCTCATCACGATTGAGTCCAGCATGGTGCATTCCAAACCCTCCACCTATGACCTCGGCCAAATTTTGATTTCGTACAGCCTCTGCTTCTTGGCGAAGAATCTCTTTTGAGCCAGCAGTCGTCTGGACTAGATTCAACTTTTCGTTCTCAACTAGTTTGTCCCGAAGCCATACTGCTGTCTTGTAAGTATCCTTACGGGAATGAACAAAAATAATTATTTGATGTTTCGACTCGAGGCTTTCTATCATTTTATCGTAACATGCTTCGTTCATTGCTTGTACTTTCTTGATTGCCTTCTTTTCCTTTATCCCAATGAAATGCTGCTCGAGCGGACAAGGTCGATAAGTTGCATCGAAATAGAAAAGTCCCTTTTCAAAGTCAACCCGAAGAAACTTGGCAACGTCTTTGTAATTTGGTAATGTTGCAGATAAGCCAACAAGTCGAATGGGTTCTCCTGATGACTCCATTTGTCTCTGGGTACGAGCTATTATGCTTTCTAATACTGGACCACGATCATCGTGCAATAAATGAATCTCATCAATTATCACTAGTCTGGTCAAACTGACATGAGGTACTTCAGACCCTTTCCGTGTGATCACATCCCACTTCTCTGGAGTTGTTACAATGATTTGGGTCTCACTAATCTGTTGTGCAGAAAGGCTAGAGTCTCCTGTGAGCTCATTAACTGTGATACCAAAAGTTGGGGTCAAGCGACGCTCAAATTCACGCTTTTGTTCTTGTACCAAGGCCTTGAGCGGAGCCACATATACAATCTTGAACTCTCCAAGATCAAACCTGCCATCTTCCTTTCTGTAGTGCTCCAAAGTCCGCAAAATGGTCAACATTGCAACGTTGGTTTTACCTGCACCAGTCGGCGCACAGAGGAGAAGATTCTCGTCAGTTTTGAAAGCCGATGGGTAGATTTTCGATTGAATTCTGTTCAAGTTTGTGGTTTCCGATGAGGGAAAGACTTCCTGAGCCCAGCTTGGAAGTTCGGATATGGAAATTAGTGGATCATTATCTTCTGCTGGCGTAGGAGCAGGTATGCTGATTATATCGTACAGTTTCTTTTTCTGCTGGTAAGATCCTGGAGGAAGCTTCACTCTATTTGTGGAGATCATATGTGAACCCTGATCAAAGGCTAAGGCAGAAAGATCCACTTCTCGAGGTTGGCGTTTGGTTGAAATTTTTTTCTGTTTCTTGACACTGGTTTCCAGGTCAGAAAGGCGACGTTTTGACGACTGTCTGACTCCTTGGAATTCGTCTACCAAGCCATGTAAATTGAGGGATCTCATTTCATCGTATACTTTAGTTTCGTCGACTCCATCGAGAAGTTTCATCTTGTACACTAGTCTCCATCTGTTTTCAAGGCAGAATGTTACTAGGTCAAAATGGTCATAGTCTAGTATTTCCATGAGTTCATTTTCGAGATCTCGAGTCAGCAAATCAGCATTTTGGAGAAGTTTGTTCATTTTTTCAGCCATGGTCTGGGTTTCACTGGCATTCTCATCGCCATAAATGAATGCTAACCGTCTCTGAAGATAGTACTGGTCTATCTCATGCAAGGGTATTATGTTCGATTCTGATGCTGATTGTGTGGTTTCTGTCTTCACTGTGATGTCATTAGAACCAACAAGCGAACTATCTTGGTCATTTGGCTCAATGCTTGGACCCACAATTTTGTCATCTTCTTCTTCACTATCTTGCGGATTTTCGTCTTCCTCATCTTCTTCATCAAAAACAATTGGCACCCCATCCAAGTTTTCTTCTGTTTCTTCGTTTTCCTCTCTAGCATCGTAATCTGTTATTCGATTACAGAGCTTGAGTATTTCATCAAATGCATTTGAGTCCAACTTTGTTTCCAATAAAGCCTCAATTTCGCTCTGCTTTTGCTTGTTGTTCACGTCTTGTTGCTTGCAAATATCCAACACAGCATCGGCGGCCGAAAGGATCACTTCGTGGCTCGAATCAGGTAAAATGGTGTTCACCAGAGTCATCAAAAGCTCAAAAATATGTCCATTTTCGGCAGTTGTGGGATAATATGACACTTCTGTGCTCACTTCTGGTGCGTACCCATCGCTTTTTGTGGTTGAAGGGTTTTTTGAAGGTCTTTCTTGGTCATTTTCGGAAGTTGGCTTCACTCTTTCAACTCTAGAACCCATCTCTTTCACTGAAATTCTACCAGAAAGCGACGACGGAGCATCCAGTATCTCTTCTCGAGGACGGCGTCCCGGTTTGAGTACCATGTTGGACATCTCCTCATACTTGTATTGATTGTACGACATGAATCTGTAGTGTGATGAGATGAGAAGTCATCGTTATTGTGGGTGTGCGGGTTTTTTTGCGCGGGTGTCTACGCTGTATCTACGGGCTGTTTAATCAAATCTATTATGTGGATTAGTAAACCCTGTTGGAAAAGTCGTTCTTCTCAAAGTTCCAGGTGTCGTCGGAAATTCTTCCTCTCAACTCCTTGACCTCAGAGCCAGGAACGTAGATGTCCTCGAACAAAATGCTCATCTTGGCCTCTGGAGGAGCGTCATTTTCAGCCTCAGCAACCTGTTCATCGACGTATTTTCTGGCATCCTTGTCCCACGCCTTGATCTCGTCCTCGGAAGCGACATTGAGGTCCAATAACGTGGCCTTCAAGCCGGCAATTGGGTCGTTTCTCGATCTCATGTGTTGCACCTCCTCTCTGGTTCTGTAGGTGGTACCAGGGTCAGACATCGAGTGACCACCGTATCTGTAGGTCTCGTACTCCAACACCAAAGGACCGTTTCCAGAGACGGCCCAGTCCTTGGCGAATTTAGAAGCTTGGTAACAAGCCAACACATCCATACCGTTGACCTTAAGACCAGGAATATATTGTCCACGCTTATAGTAGTCAGTTAATGCGGAGGATCTGGATGCAGACGTACCCATACCGTACTTGTTGTTCTCACAAGCAAAGATACAAGGCAAATCCCACAACTTGGCCATGTTGTATGCCTCGAACACTTGACCTTGGTTAGCAGCTCCATCTCCATACAAGTCAAAAGTAGCATTCTTCTCGCCACGGTACTTGTGAGCGAAAGCCAATCCGGCTCCCAATGGGACTTGAGCACCAACAATTCCGTTTCCTCCGTAGAATCCTGGAGCGAACATGTGCATAGAACCACCCTTTCCGTACGAGACACCGCTACGTTTACCCATCAACTCACCCAAAACAGCCTTGACAGAAGCTCCTCTAACATAGGCGAATCCATGACAACGGTAAGAAGTGATAACCGAATCTTGCTTGGTGATGGCATTCTCAATACCAACAGCAATTGCCTCCTGACCAACAGAAAGATGGCAGAAACCTCTGATTTTCTTGGCCTTGTAAAGCGCATCGGCAGCCATCTCCATTCTTCTAATAACTACCATATCTTTGTACATTTGAAGCAAAGTTTCCTTTTCGGTTTCGAACTCCAACAGAGGAACATCCAATTCATAACCTTCAAACGAAGAAGCAGGCAACTGAATCGAGACGAGGTCACTCAGACCGGTCGCCATACCCCTGCGGGCAGCGCCAAATACCGCCTTGTGGGCATTTCTAGATGCTCTAAACATGATGAAGATGAGAAGGAACGCGGGCTGAAGACGGCCGAGTGCGACCGGAGAAACAAGTCCGGTACTGCACCAGATATCCTGTAGATAAGCCTGTGTGTCCTGTACTTAAGCTGTCTAATTTGTGGATGCCTTGGATCGCTCGCGCCGCACGCTTTGCACCACATTTCTCGTATAAGTATCAGATTCCACCGGAAACCGCCAACTAAATGGTAAATCGCAAGGGGATCTTTTATATTCATGACAGAAAGTCGCTGTTTCTATTCAAGGGCCAGCACCAATCTCGCGCATCATTTGGTGGTGGAGAAAATGGCTGCAAACTGGCCGTTTCGGGAAACCTGCAGCACACGCTGGGACCATACATCAAACCGTATATCTTTGCGGCATCGCAACAAGAACGCCGACGTCAAGCTGGAGGTCATTGTGCCATATGTGAAGAACGATTTGGAGTGGCAGAAAGTGCTCAGAAAAAATTGAGGTTAACTTGCTCCGATCATGTCCACTATGAATGTTACAAGGTGGTGGTGGAATGTATGGCAGAATCCATTGAGTCGTACCAAGCACTTTTAGACAATATGCCTTGTTGCAAGGGTCCCAGATGTGATTTAGGTGGTGTTCGAATCCAAGCAGAATCTCCCGGTTTGACGTTTCGAATTTTCACCAATGCTCAAGCCATCGAAAAAGACTCCAAGAACTTGTCGATTTTGGGAACCACCCTCAAGCCAAAAGCCCCAGCCGTCCAAACCAGTAACACCACAACCAGTAATACACCCATTCCGGTCAGTAACACACCTTCAACTATTCCCATCGAACGAGTACCCAGTCCTCAAATCCAAGAATTCGACCGTCTTTTTGAACTCACTTCCAGAATCTCTCATCGCTCCAGGTCGCCGTCTCCAAGTCCTACTGTCGCAACCACAAACACACTATCTCTTCAAATCCCCGAATATATGCTGCAGGATCTCGATGAGCTTCGACACAAATATATCGAGCATCTTCTCACATCGTCGCAGCTTTCTTTCGCAACTCTCTGCAAATTGGGAACTCTCCGTCTCGTCGACAACTTGCTAGTTTCAAAGTGTGGTGATTTTGCTTTGAAGTCGTGCTACTTGTTCACCAACTACCTTCTTGTGTGCGAAATAGACGGCACAGACTGCTGGCACTTGCCGATCGATAATGGTGCTGAGGTTTCCACCACAGACGAATCCACTTTTGCAATTTCCATATATGACTCTCCCACAATATGGATCCAGTCGGAGGATCCTGGGGTGGTGGAAAAATGGATAGTTGCAACTTCTGACCCTACCGCTACTTTTCCATCACAATTTCTCACTTCAACATTTGTTCTTCCCGAGTATCAGACCCAAACACAAACTCCAGTTTCCTCTCCGTCAACGGTCAATCTCGACGACTCTGCCAAGGCGGAATCGGTGTTCACAAATATCAGTGCTTTGAGTGAAGATGAAAGCGATAGCGACGTTGATTCCGATCAAGAGTTGATCAACAAATTCAAAGCTGGAAAATCGCTGTGTTCACGACTACAAGACGCCGTTTCGAAAGACACAGAGCTACTAGACTTGATGTTAAGGGAAATGACAATGCTGAAGAACACATTCGAGGAATTCACTTCTTTCAAATATGTTTCGAACCAATAAATGTTATAATGCAAACCGGTCGATTTCGCAAAAGATTCTTTGAACCCATATCTCTCTTTCTTGCCGTGACCGAGCCATAAATACCATGCTCCGACCAGTGATACCGAGCTTACTAGCCAACTTGATCATTCCTGGATTGTTCAAATTGGCATCGGTTTTCTTCATTCGGTGCTTCAGAATAGCCCGCTTCTCACCAACAGTCAACGTAAAACACCGTAAAGATTCCTCCTCTGAAGACTTCCATCCGTCTGGGTATACTCTAGGTAACGAGTGGGTGCCTGGGTTCACCACATCGACTGCGTTTTGCCTATCGAGCAAATCGTGTGAACAACTTATGCCTGAATAAAGATAGCATTCTGAAATTGGAAGCGTTATAAAATGGCGGAAATAGCCACTTTTCTTACTTGCACCCGTCAACTTGGACCTGCGGTATGTCTTGTAAATCATTAGAAACCCTGGAGAAAGCACCACAAAATACGGACGGAAGTTTGAGTGCATTTTTGTTTTCAGAAACAAGTGTCCATACATGGAGACGCAATGCTTCATGGCCAATGGCTCAATATTGTGGATCTGGGGATCAGCAAACGAGTGCTGGACCTCAACGTGTTCCATTTCTTCTGTAGCATTGGAATCAATATACTCGGTGATTTTTCGTGAAGTTCGATTTTTCACGCTGGTCGTTTTTATCCTGCTCAAAATCTCACTACCCTTGGCTACCCAGTACTCTCTGAGTGCTCTCAAACGATCAACCCACTCGTCTCGCGAGTCCCGGTTGGGTGCTTGAAGCCTGATAATCTCTCCGCTATCCATTTCAATTGTGAAGCTGGAATCGACAATTTCCTTTGTTGTAGCCAACGATGGATTGGAGTACCACAATGTCGCTAATAACACTTTGTGGGTCAGCCGAACGTCCTCAATTGCAAGAGGTTGAATGGATTTGGCTCTGGACATGTCTATAACTCCCTCGGCTTTGATTATTTGAAGTGTTTTGCGCTCAAATTCTTGCTGAGCCATACCGTCACATTCTGTAAAGTTTTCCCTAAGCCAAACAATATGGTCATTTTCATCAAGCGGGTAAGGGTTATATTCGGTTGCAACCGTGGTTTCGTTTCTCTCGTGAATGATCGGATTGCTCACTGATGGTGGTATTCCACGATAATATTTTGTGTAGAAAAGTAGACCTCGATGAGAATAAAAGTACAGAGTTTTGTAAAACGTTCTGTAGAGGGAAAAGCTATGGCCAGAAATGCTTGAAAGACGAGATAGAAACCCTTCGATGGGATCTGGTTCCTCTAGAACGTCGCCTGACTTTGTGAAAGTGCATTTACTGGACAAATGTGCAGCCTGGCGATATTCCAAGGTGTACCATTTGCGAAGAAGTTGATGTTGCATCGCCAATAAACCACTATTATCGGGAGCCCATTCCAATCGGTCATAGTATTTGTGGACAAACCAAGGATTCGGGTTGTGGACCTGCCACTGTTTGAATTGGAAGGAAAGTTTGGGATTGTCCACTAGACAAGAATGGATAGCATTATCTAGGTAGGAAAAAAGTGGGTTTTTTTGCACCTTGTAGCCATATTCTCTCTCTTCCACCTCGAGTTCTTCATGTTTCGTAGCCATTTTCAATAATGCTACTTCGGAAATATGAACCAGCAACGAAATTTCCAAGTCTGGTATTGATATCTGGAAAGTTGGGTCCGATGATTGGTTGATAAACTGGCCTATAAAATAGAGCCAGCCCACGGCAGTGACATGGTCTTTGCATGCAAGAACACAAACCAAGGGTTTTTCACCGCCAACCCAGAGACTGATGGTTTTGTCTAGGCGACTGTAGAATTGCGCCGTGACGGAAGATGAGAGAGGAATCGAAGTATCGGGCTTGGACTTGGTTGTGGTTTCGTCGAACAAGGGAAGGTCATATAATTGCAACATGAGCGGATTCAGGTTATCGTCGGTACGGCGTAGAGCTACATGATACTCTTTCCATCTTCCCACCACCCTGGTGTCGCAAGGCTCGTTTTCTGTGAACAGACTAGTTTCCAACTTTGTGTGTGGAACCTTGATAAGCACCAACATTTTATCCACACGAACTACTTGACCTGCTGAGAATTTGGTCAAAAGACGTCTTTGAACCACCAGTCTTAAATCTGAGCCTGTTCTTTTGGCGTGACCTTTGGAAACCAGTGCAAACCGTTTCAATTTTTCTTTGAATTTTTTGTGCTGTTCAGCTACTCGCAAGAACTCCGACCTATCGAGCTCTGCTGGTGTAGGTTCTGCTATGCTTATACGTTTCCTTCCCGTTTTGGGGGGCGAAAGTGTCTCGGGAGTGGTGACTAAAGACAAATCTTGGGAATGAGGACGATACACCGTTGGAGAGTCAGCATATGGCAGCACACTTTTTAGGCCCGTATCATTTGGGGTGATCGATAACGATTCAGAGAACATATGTGGTGTGGTATCCGAAGCCAGGCTAGTTGAGGAAGCTGAAGAAGTCGATGTTTCATGTTGTGGAGCCTCTAGCTCATGGAGCACAGTTTCTGGATCCAACTTTCCATGCCCCAAAAACAACGGAGATCTTTCCTGACGAAACTTGGAAGTTCCAGCAGCAACGCTCTTGTGTATAACACCCACCACGCCTCGAAAACTGTGCTGGACCGATTGTTTGGATCGATGTGTTGCTCGAGCAAAGATGTTTTTACTTTTCTCATCGGCCCAAATATTCGGGATATGGCCCAAGAAAACTGTCCGCGCCAGCTGGGAGAGTTCCTGTGGACTGCAGTACGTTAGTCGGTAAGCTGTGAACGACCCGGACGGGATATGGAGCTTATCATTAGATTGCATGCGCAAACTGTCGCGGCTGCGAAAAGATGAGATGAGAAACTGACATAATATGCCAGGATAGAAAATAGAAGGCATATAATTATTGGGGAGGAACAAAAGTATTCTGGTCAATTGAGTGGTAGATGCTAGTCAAAAAGATAGTAATGAATTGGAGGAGATGATAATTGAAGGATCTAGAGAAATGTGGATAAATCTGGAGATCGGGAGCAGAACAGTACAGTGATGAACGCCAGTAAAGCTTTCATGAAGAGGTAGCCTTCAGCAATTGAGCAATTGGCAATCGGGGGCGAGCGTGGAAGGCATTGAGCAATTATGAGCTTGACTTCATTGCATTCTTTTCTTCTCATCGTTACCCCACATTTCACGTTCGCATCTAACACTACATTGTATAACCTCGTCAATTGATATTTACTACATACCGTGTACTGGCCTGGATACTGGCTACCAGTTTGCTAGTCTCTCAAATAACATCCTCTCCAGCAATGGCGACACCATCGAGGTTCATGTTATCAGGAGGCGAGACACTTGGAACCATTTCGAGTGCAATGTAAGCCAAACCAACCATGAAGATCAAGATTCCTGCAATGACCCGAAACACGCTGGCTCCATTGATAATGGCTCCGATAAGGGTATAAACTATATTAGCTTCAACTGAAAAATTCCACAAATTCATACTTACAGATACCTCTTCCTATGAAGGAAAAGAGAAACGAGGCGTACGTTTGTGCCTCAGGAGGAACTCTAAATTCTGTGTTAATACAACCAAAATCTGTTGAAGCAATGGAGCTGATACGTACCGAGAAGTCCTACAACTCCACCAAATACAACGATGTAAAGACCTAGGATAAACTGGGTTAGATAATGGTTTGTGCTTGTTGGTTTTCGATACTTACTGATTGACTGGGTTAGTTTTCGGTGGATTTTAGTGTCATGATTATACGTACAAACCACTGAACAATTGTGAGAATCCTGATAAAACCTGTGTTAGTTGAGATTTATAATCTTTTGAGTCTTTATACGTACCGCCAAGACTGCCACGGCAAGATTGATAACTTTGAAGGCACCATTGAGGTCCTGACCTCCTACTACGTCCATGATTGTTTTCTGCGATTCAGTCGAGAAGAAATTCGGTGCGCGGTCTGCTTAGGATATTTAGGAGAAAGTATAAAGAAAGGGAAATAAAAATTGAATATAAAACTAAGACGAGATGAGGATCAATTTAGACTGAATGAATTCACAGTTATGAAATTTAAGGTTATAGACGTATTTTCAATTTTTACAATGTTGCAAAATTTTGAAGTTTTGCACAAGTGTCAAATTTATTAACCACAGTAGAAACAAAATATTGTTAGCTTGCTACTTGAACCGTATCTAACAGGCAAATTTTGGTTCCATTTATTCTCTGAAATTCTATTTACTTCCCCTTTCTCCCTCAGGTCTGCTCATGTTTTCTCACTTTCCTTCCCCTTTATAATTCGCGGATTTAGCTCAGTTGGGAGAGCGCCAGACTGAAGTCGACTTCAGTCAAGAAATCTGGAGGTCCTGTGTTCGATCCACAGAATTCGCATATTTTTTGCTTCCTCTTTAGGCAAGACCACGTGATAATCACTCGTCTATCACGCGCACACACTTTGAAAGTATTTGAAATATACACAACATACCACAGTTATCCACCTCCAAGATGTCCGATCAGGAGTGTTTGGAGTCGGAATGGAAGAATAAGGTATCGGAGCTAATACAAATCACATCTGATCCACTTTTAACTACGATTATAGACCCAGAATCTCAATTTTCCAATTTCTTCAACTCGATATCAATCAAAGATGGCCTTGATTTGGACTCATTACCGACAACAGCGGCCTATAATGGCGACCTAGAGACTACTGTGCGTGCCAATTTTACAAAAGCTTATGAATTATCTCGCCAGGAATCGAAAGAAGCCGCTAAGGATGATGAACCAGAAACGCAACAGAAATCAAAAGAGTCAGAGAAAACAGAACCAAGTACTACAGACAAGGAAGAAACACACAGAGATCCAGAGGTACAAAGCAATCGAGATAGCTCGCAAAATGCCAAACCTGAGCCAATTGTATTGTCGGAATCTAACAAGAGAAAGTTCAGCGAGCTTGAAGAAGTCCATCACAAAATCAATATACCTGACGAAGAAGTTTACGTCAAAAAGGAAGCCCTGGGTGTGGTGGTTCCACACGCGCAACCTCCTAACGAGTCTCTTGCTGACCTTGATATCATCATAGCTCCAGAACACTATCCCACCCATCCGCACGCAGTGTCTTCACTTTCCGAACTCTACTATCTCACTCAAACGCTTCCCTTAATCAAGCTTCTTCCTGGAAGCCATAAAGCATTGTTCACGGAGAACTTTGAACTGGCATTGTTGGAGGGAAAGATAGCAGTGTTGTACTCTCGAATTGAAGAATTAAAAAGACAAGGTAAGTGGTCGTTGCGTCAACCTCGTAAATTCGACGATCCGTTCAAGAAGGATGTGAGACCACACTGGGATACTTTGATCATGGAAGGAAAGTGGATGGCTACTGATTTCCGCGAGGGCACCAAGTTCAAAAAAGCATCTTGCGTCATGATAGCCCAGGCTATAAAGGACTATTGGACTTACGGAAAGGACGTTTGTATTCAACCAAAACCTATTAGGCACTTGGATGACGACGCTGAGATGCCAGAGGCTGTTTCTGAGTTAGAAGCTGCTGCACCTGAGGAAGCGCCCGTTCAGGAAATAGTCGAGCAACTGCCCCTCCCTGCTCCTACAGGAGGAAAAGACGCTGTATCTTTGCCATCTGAGGTCGCTAACCAAGAAGTGAATATCAAAGAAGAATCCGTTTCAGTTAATCTTCCAGGAAATGAAACTGAACAAGCTGTGTCCGCTACAGGTATTGTCTTGGACGAAACTCCCGCTAACAATGAAGGCGGTGAAATGAATACAGAAACTGCAACATTGGATCCTCAGGCTTTGAATGGTGGCACATCTGAGCCTATAGTAGTTGAAGAACCCCAAGGACCATTGTTCATACCCCAGAAACACGGCGACGCAATCTCATCAGGCTATCCATTTCGCCTCAACATGGACTTTTCTGAGGTTCCTCGACTCGAGCAGTCCATTTTCACCCATTTGCCAAAGTTCAATGGGTTTGATAATGATGAAATCCAGCATCCAAAGCCTCCTCTCACCACTCGTGATTCGCCCATGGTTCCAATATCTAGACTCATACATCCGTTCGAGGAGGACAATATGTGGTACAAGCTTGTGGTTAAGGAGAGCACAAAGCGTACTAAGAACACTGGTCCTCCAGAATATCAACGCGGGCTTTTCAGCATTAATGCTCACCGCCGCTTCAACTTTTTAAAACCACCGAAACCTCCATTGATCAAAAATATCGAGTACAGGCTGCCGACGATTTGGCTTCCTGAAGATGACAAACATTTGATACACTATGTTGCGGAATTTTGTTTCAATTGGGAGGTGATTTCCGAGCATCTTCTGTCACCATCAGCTACTCTCAAACGTTACGAATCGAACATTGAGCGTCGAACACCATGGCAATGCTTTGAAAGGTACATCCAATTGAATGAAAAATTCCAGTTTTCTGACATGAAAGGTATGTACGCACATCACGCACAAAAGTGGCTAGAACATGCACACGGAGCCCAACTGACCACCAAGAGGAGAATCTCTCCTTTAGGTGTAGGAAACGAGTCGATTCAACGGGGCCACAGACGTTTGAGATGGGCATCCATGTTCGATGCCATGAGAAAGAGTATGCGTAAACGAGAGATTGCACTTGCAAAGTTGAACAAGAAACGAAATGAAGTGAATTCAGCAACACCCACTGCCACTCCTACTGGAACACCCACCCAGAAGAGACCCACTGACAGAATCCCCACTCCACTTGAACTTTCGAAACTTAAATTTGAGAGAGATAAGTCGATCCACGAAGCGTATGTTAACCAACAGGCCACTCGTTCGCGGATGATGGCGGCAGTTGCGCAGCAGAAGAGACAAGGCGGAGCGACCAATGCTGGCGAAGCTGATCCACAAGTACAAGCACAAGCACAAGGAAATCAACTAGGGCCTCGCCAGGCTCAATTGGGTCAAGCAAACCCACTTCCACAGGGCCAAATACGTCAACCACCACCCGGTGCCAACGCCATGCAACTGCAAACGTCTCCTCAAGCTCCAGGTCAAAACCCGGTTCAAGGTCAAAGACCCCAAGTTCCGGCGCAGCAACGTGGAATGCCCATGAAACGCCCTACTTCTCCCAATGGTACACCTTATACTACCGAGCAAATCCAGCAGATTCTTTTGAAGCGCAGACAAAACCAAGCTGGTCAACTCGGCCAAGGAATGAATCCCGGCAATCAGGGCCCAACTCAGCAACTCAACCAGATGAGCCAAGCGTTGAACTCAGGTAACAGTCCGCAAATGAACCGGAGTGTAAATCTTGCAGGTGGACAAGGGCCCAGCAGCAGCAGCCCGCCAATGGTTCCAGGAACCCAGGCTAAATCTCCACAAATGGGACAAGTCGCAAGCCCCAATCTCAGATATAACCAAGTTCAACCTTCAAATAACAATTCCAAATCCCGGATTCATTTTGCTCCAGCCCAGGTGTCTGCCATCATCAACTCGATCCAGAACAAGAATCCAAACTTGACGAAGGAACAAGTCACGAAACTTGCAGCCACCTATTTGGCTAACATCCAGCAGCAGCAACAGAGCCGTATCAACCAGCAACAACAACAACAACAACAACAACCACAGCAACAGCAACAACCTCAATCTCAAGTTCAGCTTCGCAAACAGCAGCCTCAGGTCGCAAATTTGACGCCTCAAGAACGCTCCCAGCTCCAAATGCTCAAGAACAGAAAACCATCTCCCAGCCAGCCGGAGCATCCTGATCTGAAGTCTGGCGAGGAATAGCATACGACTAACGAACAATAAACGGTATAAAGTGTATAGTCTCATAGTAGCATGGTTTGACACCCAGTGCACCGATAGCACCGCAGCAAAATCATGATAAACGACAAGCCACAAACACTTTAGAGGTTGATGATATAGCACCAGAAACCATTACAAACAAAACATGAGCCGACGAGCGCGTTTCGAGAGAACCTCCGGGTCAACTTATGATGATGATGAACTTTCCGTACCTTCAGAAATATCCATTTCTTCAGATATCAATCCCACAACTATAGACGATCCTGCTCCTAATCCCATCAATTATAGTGCCACATACTCCACATATACCCCTAATGTCGACTCGTCCCGGTTTATAACGTTTGGCTTGCACCGACGAGTGTTTCGATGGATATATTCCATCTCTTTGTTCATTTTGACGATTCTTCTTCTTGGTTTGGCATCCCCAACTCCCATAGATGTCATTGCACAAACGTCTGGAGCATCGTCACCGGGAATCAAGCTCTTTATTGTGATCATCGTGTGTGTTGTGTTTCTTGTAGTGGCCATTGTGATGTATTTTCTGCGGATTTTCCAGCACAGAATGGCATTAAATGACATTCCCACGAGATCAATGTACATTCCTGGCGAGGGAGACCTTCCCAAGAGTGCTGTGGCGATGATAAACAAGAAACTAAAGCATTGTGTGACGGTTGTAAAGGTAAAGGCTGGACCTATGTACTGTGACTCTGTCATAAATCACCCTGGCTTGTCACCGCCAGTTTACGTTCAAGAAAGAAATGCCGATAGATTTGGACCAACGCTGGCAGGAACATACTTTCCTCCTGAGTCGTGTTATGAAGATGTGATTCGAAGCTTGGGCGACAAGTTTCGAGAAAATTCAACGTTTATTCATCGATTCGATTATCCACCCAATTACTCAATGCGAGAGATCTTTATTTATTTATACGATCACTATGCAAATGATCCTACGATTCTTCCAGAACATCTTCCGGAAATAGAAAAGTTGATCAAACTCTACGAAAAAATGAAATTTGGACGTCAACTCATTAATGAACAGGATCTTTTTGAATTCATGGTTGAATTCAACAAGTTTGGAACCTTATTCCATCATGTCAACGAACATAGTCCAAACCACGAACCACCACCCATGAGCGCCCAAGACTCATCTTTCATTGATATTCCAACTTCCGAACCCAATCCTAAGCATTTAGAAACCTACTTTGACGGAGTTGAAAGCGACGAAGACACTTATTCGCTCAAAGTGAAACATTATTATGGCAGTGAAAGCGAGTCGGTAAACAATGCTCCCATAAGCAAAACATCGAGTCACCGATCGGTGGTGAGAAACAGACTCGCCATAAGCTCCAATGCCAGTTTGGCTGCAACAAGATATTCCGGTTACGTCACCGACGAACTGTCTACCGTATAATTTCATCAATTACTGGGAGCTGTAATCCCATCATGTACGTAATAATACACTACACTCGAGTCATCACTTACAATGGCTACAATGACTCTTTTGGGCCTGTGCAGCAATGTCTCGATTCCAGAAAACCACAGCCCAAATTGCTCGGTTTCAAGATGTCCCTTTGAATCGACCGGAATAATCCATTCAATCAGTTCCGAGGTCACTTCCGGGGGTATTCCTTGCACTACCGCAGTCTGGGCCCCATTACATAATATTTCTCGGATCGTAACCTGCGTCCATAAATGGTAGTGCTCGAGGTTGGTTTTCACTTGATGTGCGAGGTCCATACTCTGTCGGTGAGACCCGAAATCTTAGTGATGAGGTACTGCAGATAAGCCAAAGGCCGAAACCTGAAACCAGTTCCTAACGCCGGAACCGGCAGCAATTTACGCTTTGGGAAATACTACATAGGGGCTACTACCACAAAAGGATACTACTACCACATGGGATTATCCCCTTTTGTCGCTTCCATTTTGGGCAGGTGGTCCAAAGTTTAAAGCCGGACTGCGTACAATAGGCAACGCCGCATTGAATTTTTCACGGCCTGTGTACGAGAAGGTCTAGATTCGGGACCAAGAGCACGGTCGACCCAAAGTTAAAGAAGTGGCTGTGGCAAAGGTATTGCCACCTAAAGTGTCGCAAATGGTGGCAATATGCTATATTTTGATCTTAGCTTCCAGAAAACTTGTTGCTAGCGCAAAATCTCATGGAGGCTAAATAGGGTGGAGATCAAATTTTCTTTTGTTTGGCGAAAATATACGACTCAAAGCGAGACGTAATCGAACTGGTTGTGCCCGCAACCGGCTATTGATGTCCCCTTTGTATTTTAACCGAAGTGCTCCTGTCCCCGAGATCTCATGTGCGCATATGCGTGTCGTGCATATGCTCGCCTGGACTTCCGCTTTGGTGAAAGTGTCAAACTGTAAAAAAACAAGAAGAATGCCACGAAAGTGGCTGTTGTTTGACAATATGAACAAGTGACTCTTGATACTCGAGGACGTTCGACGGCTGTTTATCGGGAGCTCTTTTCACCGACTTTTTTCGGATTTCAACTTCTCGTTTTTCACACCTGTCGCCGCGCCGTTGTCAACGCATGCACTTTGACGGATCGGGTAATGAAAGTGATTTTTTTATTCAATCAAACTTTGCAGCAAATCTAGACCTGGAGAAGGGTAGTATTTTTTCAGATGTGGATGGCTATATAAGACCAAGCCAATCCTGGGGTTCGATGTTAAACCGACCAGTATAATCCATTCATTATCTTAGCTATTTGATTTCATTCTTTTGTCATCTAGCAAACTCATTCCTTACAACATGAAGTATTCCACTATTATCGCAGCTTATTCATTCTTTTTTGCTGTCAATGCCGCTCCTTTGAACAAGAGAGACAACACCTGCTCGTTGCCTGAAGGTAAGGGTTTGGTGAGCATTTCTGGAGCCAGTAACCAAGGTTGGGCTTTGAGTCCCGACCAAAAGTGTACCAGTGGTTCTTACTGTCCATATGCTTGTCCTTCTGGTAAGCTTATGGCCCAATGGAACCCAAAGGCTACTTCTTACACTCCAGGACTGTCTGAACAGGGTGGATTATACTGTAACAATGATGGTACCGTTTCTAAGCCATTTGACGATAAAGACTATTGTGTCGATGGTGAAGGTACTGTGTCGGTGAACAACAAAGCTAACAAAGATGTGGCTTTCTGCCAAACCGTTTTACCAGGTAACGAAGCCATGTTGATTCCAACTAATGCTCAAAGTGGTAAGAGTAATACTACTCTTGCAGTTCCAGGTCCTGACTACTGGGCTGGTACTGCTGCTCATTACTATATCAACGCTCCAGGTGTTTCTACCGACGATGGATGTGTTTGGGGAACAAAGAGCAAGCCAATTGGAAACTGGGCTCCATACGTTGCTGGTGCTAACACTGACAAAAACGGCAATACTTTTGTCAAGATTGGTTGGAACCCTAAGCACATTGATGATTTCAATGGTCAAAAGCCCAATTTTGGTATTAGAATCACCTGTGACAACGAGGGTGACTGTAACGGATTGGACTGTGAAATAGATCCTTCCAAGACCGGTTACAATAGTGTTAGTGGTTCAAGTGCTGACAAACTGCAGGGTGCTGCTTACTGTGTAGTTACAGCCAAGAACAAGGCATCTGCCAGAATCGAGGTTTTCTCCGTATAGATTGTATTATAGGATTGGTTTGGGAATAAAGGAAAGTCAAAAAAAGCTGAAGAATGTAGATGAAAAATGCTGAAGAAGGTAGCTGAGAATTAGCTGCAAAATGTTGAAAAATGCTCAAATGCTGGAAATGCTGAAAAATTGAAAAATTCTGAAACAACGCTAGCCCTACTCAGTACATTGATAATCTAACTGCCCTTTAGGTTTACTCTATGTTTTCTATAAACTATGTTTTCTACAATAATTCATGTTCTTCATTATCTGATTCAGGGTCCTCGCACCAGCATGTGCATGATCTCGCAGTATGCGAACTTTGCATAATCTCACACCAACCCCAAAACTTCCACTTTAGACGCTATGCAACCACCATCCGAGGTCAACCGAATCCACCACAGTTCAATCAGACCACAACCCAGGCTTTCACATGACAGATCCACCTCCTGCGCATAAGCGAGAAACGGCTTTTACTTATCTAATCATTATCGTGTTGGGTTTGCTTATGGGAGAATCAATACGCTCTAATTCCACCTGACCGACATTCCAATTTCAGCTAGGAAGCTTATTTCGAAGCGTAAGGCTGAATCAGGACCGCAGGTGTTGCGACCTGAATTATATGCACAACCCGATCATTCGAATCAATCTCTAGATAAAGTTTTCTTTTTCTTGCTAGGCATGGTCCACTAGGTAAAAAGGGCCAGAAACTCATCAAAATACCATCTTCCCACCCCAACTACTTGGAGCCGTGCCCATAACATATTATACTAGCGTCTAGGCCAGAAAAAATTGGTTTCGACTCGACTTCCTCGGCACAAAAACACGGGTTTTCATAACTACATTCCTTTAATTTAACCCGCTTTGGATCCCGGTTTCCTCGTTTAAACTACATCAAATATGAGCGAAAATCGCCCAAAACCAATCAAAGTGTTTGGTCGGAGTCACTATGCTTGTACACGATGCAAAATAAGCAAGATCAAATGTTCCGGTGAACGTCCAGCATGCTCCAATTGCAAAACAGTGAACCGTGGGAGCGAATGCATCTACCCTACCAAGGATCGTAAGGTTGTGGTGATGGAAAGTGACTTGAATCGACTTTATGCTCGAGTCAACCAAGTTGAAATGCTTCTCAAACAAGATAAAAAAGCCACTTCCAGCATATCCAATAGCATTGATGGTCTTAAGCATTCCAGTGAAAGTGCCATACAAAAGAGAGCACCGTTGACGGGGGTTCTGTCGTATCAAGAGGCAAATTCTTTCGGAGAAAATTTCTTGATTCCCGATTACCAAAATGAAAAATTCCCTTCTGGTCATTATGACTACATGCAATATCAAATGCCTCCCCAACAGTACACTTTGAGCTTAATTGATACCGTATACCGCACATACTCATCGGAATTCTACTTATTGGACTTACCAGTACTACTCAACATTGTCGATACCTGCTACCGATTCTATGCCGATCTTGAAACCGCCCGCCGTCAAAACTCTCCAACGTTGCCTCAACCACCTTCCCAGGTTTCCTTGTGTTATCTTTTCATTATCATGGCTTTTGGTGAACAACTTCTCAACATTGTTCGTCCTCCTACTAATGTCCCTCCCAATGACATCGCTCACACCGTTCCAGGAATGCGTAATTATTTATTAGCATCGTCGCTTTTTCCACTCAATCACGAAATAGTGGACTTGCAATTCATTCAAAGTGCATTGCTCTTAGCACTCTACTTGGCAAATTTGAATCGGTACAATACAGTCTATAATTATTTTGCAGTTGCCGTTCGTTCAGCAATTGCTAATGGATACCACAGACAACAGGAACGGCCAGCGGAATTGGATCCTGAAGAGTATAAAGTTTATAGAATTCGTGAAGAAAAGACAAAGCTCTTGTGGTGGACTGTTTTTGTCATCGATGTGGGTTGGGCTGCCAAAATGAATATGCCCGTACATCTTGATTATACCGATACCGATGTCGACCTCCCTTGCGAAAACACTTTTGATATTGGTGATCCATTTGATAGAGTGATCCTTGAAAATAACGTTCATTTGGCCAAGTATGTGGCGAAGTACATTCGTCTCATTTACGGGCCCAATATTCGAACTTTTTCCTTGAACTATATCAACACCGACAAATTCAATCAGAGTCTACTCATCAAGAACATTACGGGATGTCTAAATGAGCTTTTGACAAATTTTGAAGAACTTATTTTGGAACAGTACCGTAATGCCAACTTGATTCAAAAGGCTGGACGGGTGGTAGCCAATTTATTCTTGCGTTACCACCAGCTCTTGATCTTGATCACCAGACCATTGCTTTCACTAGTGTTCAATAGCCAGTCCTCAAGCATAATCGAGAACCCCAAGCAAGTTGAAACAGCCATTTCCAAAGGCATTGAAGCAGCCAGTGCTACCACCGAATTGCTCTTGAGGTTGTACGAATATAACAGACTATTTCTTCTGGGTTTCTTTGACAGTCAGCATCTATTTTCAGCGATTCTTATCCATATAATGGCAGCATTTACTGGACGTCGATTTGAATTACTTGATGCTGGCATAGCTTTGCTCAAGTTCATGGCATCTCAGGGTAATGTGAACGCTCAGAATTGCATGAACAAACTTTTTGTTGTGAACCAAATATTGACAAAGATTGACGAGGTGGACTTTGAACTCAATTTAGAAGCTCAAATCCAGGATTATGTGACCGTTAAGGAAATCAACACCTTTTCCGATTTACCCTATTACAATTCTTTCAGTTCAAGTGTTTCAAGATGCTATCAGAAAGAAGGTGGAAAAGGGTTCATTGAGATGAATCTTTTTGATGCTGAAGGAGAACTTGCTAATCCGTCCATGAAAAATCTCAGCGAAAATACCCAGGAACTCATTTGCGACGTCATAAGTAAGATCCAAGCATGGGACAACTTCAGAGGTCTTCCCATCAGCATATACGGAACCGAAAGAACCAGAAAGTATTTGAGAAAACAGTGAGCATTCAAGAACCGTCTAGGGCCTGGTCGAAATTGAACTCGTTGGTAGCGAGTTGTTGTTCTATCATTTCCGTCCAAGGACCCACAAAGTCCAACCCAATATCACGGTTATTCATAAACCATTCCATCACCTCACTGTCACCAACGAGATTTTGGTAAGGAGAGTCTTCTCTCGTTCCCGCTTCTTCTGCAGCGTCGGGCAAGTTGACCCGCGACGAGCCCATGGGAGTGACGGGATCACTGTTTGTTTGCAAGTATGGAACATGTCCAAACACATCATTTCTTGAAGATGGACCAGAAAAGGACATATTTGGTCTTCTTCGCTTGGGAGCGGGAAACTCGTCCTCCTCCATCGACGAGAACATTTTAGCCTTTGTCTTCATTTCTGAGCATAGGTACATGAGAACCGTTGAGTAGCGGGTACACAAATGAAGTTCATCTGGAGAACAATCACGAAGGGTGATGGCTGCTTTCTGAATGCTTTGCATGATTTCATCGACGGAGATCATGGATAGCGACAAAATTGTGGAATCAAATTCTGTATTAGCAGCTCCACTAATCGATGATCTTTTGTGAGCTGTGATAGTCAAATAGCATTTCACAATAAAAGCAACAGCTCTAACGATTCGAGTAAGCCAGCGAACGGGCATGAACCGAAGTAGCTTTAATTTGTGAATTCGATGAGCCGCTGAAAGCATTTCATTTGCTGACGTGAATGCCATCTCGATATACTTTGCAGACTTTGAAAGCTCATCTAGTTTCAAAGTGACTTTTCTGTTTTTTCTCTTCCCTTTCTTGTCGTCTTCGCTTTTTGGAGACGGACTGAGTGCCAAAGAGTAAATGTAGAGTCGAGCATAATGGAACTCGAATATAAACGACTCTCTATCAATGGCCTCAGAAACCTCTTTAGAAAGCTTTGAGTTGGGGTTTAAAAACTGGCTTTGGCCCTGGGTAGAATTGTGAAGTAACTTTGCATTGGAAGGGACCAAAAACTCACGATACTTGCGGACCCAACTGTTGAGAAGTGGTGAGATGATATTCAACACTGCAAGATTTTGGCGCTGAGAGAGGGCACCAAGCTGAGCCTTGTAGCCGTAAAGAGACTCATGGCCCAACGACATGATCTGTAAAAGCTCAATTTTGGCCTTTTGATTTCTGGTGAATTTTAGTGAACTTTCCGCCGAGAGTCTCTTGATCTCTTCCTCACTCATATTGAGGATCTTGTAATCTTCATCTTCGTCGTCCATTTCCTCTTCAGTGGCGTCATCTTCGTCCAAATCAACTTCTGACAACGAATGAGCCAACATGGATCTTCGAGAAATGTTCATCACCGAATTGATTTCGGCAATATGAGTAGCGAGAAACGTCTTGGCACTCACCTCCATGAACCCCATATCTTGAGCCAATCTCACAGCAGAGCCGATAAGCATCCATGCCATTCGGTAGCTTCTTCTCATGGCTCCTAAACCTGCCAAGTTGACATCGTTAGAGTTTGTATCAGCAGCACTATCTTGGTCAGGATCATCGGCTCGATTGGCATAGTCCGACCACCGCCAATGAATGGCTCTGGGATTCCACTCGGTGAATAGTAAGAACGCAAAGATTGTTCCAATAGACCTCGTGGATGCTTCTGCCCATACAGTTTGCGAGATAAGTCGCTGAACGTAGAGCCATAGTCTATCGTGCAATTCGATATTTCTGGCCTGAGATTTCTCATCCAGAGTTCCATGTTTGGGCTCAAGACTGTAGTACCTCGAGGCAATGGTCAAAATGGCACACAAGAGAATTGGGTACCCAGAAAGTGTTTTTGGCGAATGGAGAAATTTGGGAACGTGAGGAAAGAATGGGTGGATCGTGGTAAAGAAAAGATTTACCAACATCTCTGCTTCCTGTTCACTCAATAGCCCATCTGGTCCTATGTACTCAATGTTGGAAAGGTACCTAGAAGCCTGAGGTCTAGCCAGATAAACTCCATCTGCTGCAGGAACAGTGAGTCTTGGACGAGTCAGAGCCATTGCCAATTCTGCCATTCCCGGAGCTCCTGGGGGCCGAGTTGGGTTGTTTAGGATATTTGAAAGCGAGGCAGCCAACGGCACAGATTCAGTTCCTGATTCGGGAGCAGAATTATCTCCAGATCCAGTTTCTTGTTTGTCTATACCAGCCTCAATTTGCCGATGTTTTGTTACTCCATCGATATTATCTCGCTCGTCCGCTTTGGCAATCGTTCCAGCAGCCTGTGCTAAAAATACAAGTGCTCCTTCCATGGTGGAAAAATGACTACTTGATTCTGCCTGATTTGGTTTCAGATCAGCGGGACCATTAGGAGCACTTTCTTCTCCATATGGCCCCAGTTCTTGGTCACTATTATTACCACCACTATAACCACCTGAGTGAACATTCGTGAGCGAGTTACTACGACTTTTATGACCACTTGAACCTTGTCTCGTACCAGACCCTCCACGACGAGATTCCACAAAAACACAATCTTTTCGTTCTCGAAGACATCTGGCACATTTTCCCTCACGAGGATTATCCACAGACCCGAGGTCACACTTAACTTTGCGTAGACGGCAATTGAGACATGCTTTATAGTTGCGCTTGAACCGTTGCAGCTCCATCTTGTCTCCTCATATTGCCGCGAATAACCGTTGAAGATTAGTGGGGTGGGGGCCTGCATGCACTCTTACTACAATCAATATAACATACAATTTGTTTATCTCTGATAACGCCGTCCTACTTATCTCTTGGTCAATTGCAACTTCTTCACCTGCTCTTCAAGCGTCTTCAACTTACTTTGCATTTCTTCAAGGTCCAGGTTGAGACGGTTTCGTTCATTAACAATGTTGCTTTCCCACTGTCTGAACCGCAGCTCTTCTGCCTTGACTTGCTCGGTAAAGAATTTTTTCAACGCATCCTCCTCTTCCTTAAACTTGGGGTTGTGCAGTCTACGAGGTTTCATAGCCTTCTTAATCTCGTCGCTCACACCTCCGTTAGCTTCACCACTAGGTTCATTATCGTCCAATTTGAGGCGCCTGTAAGCTTCGAAGTGAACCTCGTTTGTCAGCAAAATCAAGTCGATCATATTGGTTCTCAACAACAAACTCCGCAATTTCTTGAAATCGCAATGCTTGTCGTTTTCCACCTCAACTAATCCCCATGGGTATCTTCTTCCACGAGAATATTGACCAGGTGCAACTTCGTACTCGTCTTCAGATCCAATCACGGCGAATGGCATTGCTTCGATCAATTGCTTGGCGTGCTCGGCTCCAGCTGGGTCGTCGTAGTCGAATGGAGGGGTGTATATGTTGATGTCTTGTGCTTCAATGACATCTCTTATGCGAGACTTGAACGCATCCAATTCCTGTGGCGCCAAAGTGTCGGACTTGGCAATCACGGGAATCAAGTTCACTCTGGTTGAGAGCCGTTTCATCACTTCAATATCGAGTGGCTTAAGACTGTGACCTGTAGGACGGATGAAATATAAACAGGCATGGACTCTCAAGTCCTTTTTGTGGGTTCTGCGTGGCTGTTGTTCCTGTCTCATAAACAGCTCGTGTTGGTCGTCGATAAAATCGACTATTGGTGCCCACGAATCCTGGTTGTTGACATTGTTACCAAATCCAGGAGTGTCAATGATATTAAGACGAACCTTAAAGTTCTTCTCTTCGATCTCGGCCCGCACAATATCGATATCTACGGTTTGCTGTGGAGATGTAAACTTGTTGTGTCTCTCATTGGGATCTTGGTATGGTTTTAACGACGAATGAAAGAGAGTATTGATCAATGTCGTTTTCCCAAGACCACTTTCTCCCGCCACCATGATGGTGAAAGTGGCCCCTTGTTGCGAGATTATCTTATACCTATAGTTAGTATTTAGTAAAAGGGTGAATGAGCATGTCATCGTTGAAATAACTCGTCTCGTGTTCATTGGCGTCAGCCACGATCAAAATTAATATGAATCAAAAACTCAGTTTCAAAACATCTAAGTATTCACAGCTTGATAACAGCACCATATCTGGATGTACATACCTTTGGTTCGGTAAATTGGCGATTCCCACTGGTTCGGACATGGGCATGTTGTTATTTGTTGTTAGAAATTCTACACGCGCGCAATGAAAACTTCAACGATCTTTACGCGGAGTGGTGTACCGAGGTGTTAGCCGAGTTGTCAGTAACAATTTATTCAACAATATAACAACATAATATAAACAACACAGAGCGAATCTAACTCAACTCTGTACATTCCTCAATCTTTTCCTAGTTTATGTTATGTTTTTATGTCAAAAAAGGAGAAAAGTGATTGCGAAACGTAAGAAACAAACAAATCACAGAATTTACTCCTCCTCAGGCTTGGACTCTGCCGGCTGTTCTTCAGCTGGGGCTGGGGCCTCAGATAAGTCAGTCCACAAAGTCAAGTTATCTCTCAACAATTGCATAATCAAAGTAGAATCCTTGTAAGAATCCTCTGACAAAGTTTCTAAATCAGCCACAGCGTCATCAAAAGCTTGCTTAGCCAAATGGCAAGCTCTGTCAGGAGAATTCAAAATCTCATAGTAGAACACAGAGAAATTCAATGCTAATCCTAATCTGATGGGGTGAGTAGGAGGTAATTCGGTAACAGCCACATCGGATGCAGCCTTGTAAGCCTCCAACGACAAATCAGCAGCTTCCTTACGCTTCTCAGAAATGGCAAATTCAGCCAAGTAACGGTGGTAGTCTCCCTTCATCTTGTAGTAGAACACCTTGGACTCTCCAGTTTGAGCAGAAGAGATCAAATGATCAGTCAACACAGAAAGGATATCTTCACAGATCTTGGACAACTCAGCCTCAATCTTGGTACGGTACTCACGAATCAACGAAACTTGTGATTCGTTACCCTTGGCCTCTTCCTTTTGCTCGATAGAGGAAACAATTCTCCACGAGGCACGGCGAGCACCAATGACGTTCTTGTAAGCAACGGATAAAAGGTTGCGCTCTTCCACAGACAATTCTTGGCCGGACGAAGCAACAGCCTTCATGTTCTCAACCATTTCTTCATATCTTTCGGCCTGTTCAGCCAATTTGGCGAGATAGACAGAGTCTTCACGGGAAGCGGGCATCTAAGTTAGTAAACAAAATTCAAGGAGTTGAGAACAATAACAACCAAAATCAAGGGGGGCAAGAAAAACAACGATCAATCATCAATCAATCACGTTCCTACGACTTCATACTATCAATTGCCCATACTATGCGCTTACACTCGCAAACAACGCCTCAATAACGCAAATCGTCGATCCTTGCTCCCTATTTGCCGGTGGGCAAAATGATGAAAACGGAAAAATAATCGGAGGAAATGGCGATGATACTTACTGTTAAACGGTTCTAAGTATGTTTTGTCGCGTGTAAACAGACTTGCAGGACTCAAATCGCAAAGGCAAAAAATTGGTTAGTCACGTAGATTCGCTTCTTTACCTTTAAATTTGAACGACCGGTGTCCAATTCTGTTTTGAGCGCGAAGTTACACAAAAGCCCGCGGCGCCTGCTTACGTCGCCGCCTCACCTCAGCTTAGTCACGCGCGGGGGCGGGTTAGGTAAGCATGGCCAATAAGGAAAGCGGGAGGCACGCGAGTGGCGCACAAAGGGAAATTCTTTAGTTGCCATTGGCAGGTTGAGAGAATTTGGGAAACGTTGCGGCTGCTTATGTCATCGACTAAGGCTTAGGAAGTGCAATCTGAAAGAAAATCATTAAACCAAAGAAGAAGAAAAAAAATTTACATTGGTTATTTTCAATTCTGGATTGACTTGTTAACTTTTTTTTCGATTTCAATTCTGATTCAATACTGGATTCAATCCTGATTCAATTTCGTTTAATTTCGATTTCAAATCTGATTTCAGTTTTTGCAATTTTCAGCGCACCTCACTATTTTTCACCACTTTACAGCTTCTCTTCTTTCTACTTCTCTACCTATTCATGCTAATTCATGTCCATCTCTTCCTTGCCTTCACGATACGGGCGAGTTTCCTTGATATTTATTCCAAATCTCTTGTCTTTCATCATGGTGGAAAGTTGGTTGACGGTGTCTGCCATTGCACCAGTTAATTGGTATTGCGAGTGGACCCAGCTAGGATTAGCTGCTCCGCTGCCGCTGAGACGGATAACATCGTTGTTTACTTCATTCAACACAATTGTGCAACTTTCTCTTGCTACTGGAACCGATTTGCTGTGCTTCAATAATGACTTCAATTTAAGCGACGAGATTCCAAGTTTGGGTAAAGGTACTTCCAAGCCTGGTAAAACGGGCTTCTCCGCATCAATTCCATGACGCCCGGTGGTGTTGTCGGTAAGCAAAATTTTTTCAAGTGGGACAAATCGAGCAACTTGAACTGGACGAGATCTTACAAGACGACGATTGGAAAGCTCTGATAATCCCAATTTGAGCTGTTGGACCTCTTTTTTGGCACCTTCTAAATGTGTTTCAACGTCTCCATCGACGAAAGGAAAGCTGTCGGAGACATAACTTAACTTGAATGGGTAGACCGTGAACCGTTTATCGATTTTACCCAAAAGTTTACGAGAAGACTTCAACCGAAGTTGATGGTGAACGGCATAGTCGCGGATATGGATGGTGGGACGGGTGGAAAATTGGTTTTCTTGGTTATTTTTTCCGGTAAATTGGTCGATTTCGTCAAGGGTGATGATACCAGGTTCTTCAAATGAACCAATAGAACACATTCTGATGTCAATGCTGTACACTTCTCCCGCAAAAACAACAAAATCATCGGTAGGTATAACACTGGTGGTTGTAGCCGTTGGAGCCTTGGATTTTTCCGCCAAAACCAAATCGCCAGTGGCATTGGCATTTTTCAACAACCCAAGTTCTTGGTCTCTTTCAGTCCACACTACACCCTTGATATCCTTCTCCGCAACAATTCCCTCGGCCTGACCAGCCAAAAACCTTCTAACACGACGAACCTTGGAATCTGGAACCACCACACAGTTGTATTGAGCAGCAATAGTATCCACCAACAACCGTATTTGACTACCGGTAATTTTTCCTGATTCAGTTCCCAACACTGTAGGAACCTTCTCGGGACTCATGGCAAGACCCAAGAGGGCCACCAATGACTCAGTGGCAATATGAGCAGCACAAATGGCATCAGCATTCGCACCAACTAATGGTCCTTCGGGAGCAGGTTTACTATCCACTTGGTGACCCTGAGGATAGATGACAATAGTATGTGATACGTTGGCAGTATATCCATCGATTTGAACCCCAAGAGACACGGTAACTATGTCTCCCACTGAAAAAATGTAAGGAGTCTCATCGTCGATTTCTGGTGAAAACCCTCCCACAATATCATTAACTTCAACAGTCACAGGAGTAGCTATACCTTTCTCTTTCACATCGTTGTTATATACCTTGGCAAGAAGTCTGGCAAGGTACGAGTCACCTAAATAACAAATTTCCTGAGACGATAATGGATTATTGGTACCAAGATGGTAAGAATCATTGATCAAATTAATGATGTATTTCAACCCTGATTGTACTACTTTTCCAGCAACACGATACTTATCCAAGACCTTGTCATCGAGCTTGTTCTTTTGCTGCAACAAGACGTCGGCATCGTCTTCGTGGACTGCCAATTGCATAGTTGTAAAGACTAAGTTTCTAGATTTTTTTCGCGATGCGATGCCTTTACTTCTGGGGAAAACTAAAAAAAATTGACGACAACTGCAGGATTCGAACCTGCGCGGGCAAAGCCCAAAAGATTTCTAATCTTTCTCCTTAACCACTCGGACAAGTTGCCATAACTGCTAATTAGATGTCGGCGTTGGTATTAAGTACCTTTCTGCCATGTCTATTCCTTCAAAAACATTTTCCTTGCGTAGTAATTCAATAATTGATATATTTGGGTACCTTGTGTATTGGTGTACGGTTGTGCCCAGGTATTATGCATTGGTTATTTGACACGAAAATCCTGGACTTTCACACAAATGCGAAAATCGGGTCAGACTCGCTCAAAATGGGTCATAGAACTTGATTCAGTATGGCGACATATGCAGGATAATTCACATTTTTGAAATCACCTCAAGAAAATCAGAACTACGATATGAGCCTCGGTTATCGTTTCTCTCGCTTCTACCTCTGCATTTCTACATCATCTCCATATCCTTCTATTAATGCTATTGCATCCTAGTATACACGGCCGTAGCCCTATGCTATCACAACTCGGTGTTGTCCAAGAAAAAGTAGTTTCCTGATGCCTTTTGTTCTTTGTCCATTTGCGAGTCCAACTTGTTGATTCTAGGTCTGTACGAGTTGGGGTCTCTTCTAAACGTAACGTTCAAGTTCTTCAAGAATCGGTTACAACCGGTCAACAAAGACTCGGGAGCACGGGCATTGGCATCCTTAGATGGTTGACCATCGAATACAATAACTCTATCAGCCAAGTAAGTAGCCATGATAAAATCGTGCTCAACGATGAAAGCGGTTTTCTTGGCGTGAAGAATGAATCTTCTGATAACCTTGGAACAAATAATACGCTGCTCCGAATCGAGGTAAGCAGAAGGCTCATCGATCAAGTAGATATCAGCGGGAATACCCAAAGCCAACACTATAGCCACACGTTGCAATTCACCACCAGACAAAGTTTGCACTTCTTGATCAATAATATCGTCGATTTTCAATGGCTTCACCACATCGGTTTGAAATTGAGGATGCAAAAATGAAGCTCTGATTTTCTTGAAGAACAATTGTCTCACAGTACCAGGGAATTTGGGTGCAATCTTTTGTGGCTTCATGGAAACATTAAGCTTAGGAATTTGTTGACCATTGTCTGGAGCAGTAGCACCGGCCAACAAACGACAGAAAGTAGTTTTACCGGTACCATTTTCACCCATCATCACCAAAATTTCCGAATCGGTGAAATCACCTGCCTCTACCGACAAGTGGAAATCTCCCTGGGTCTTTTCCATAGCGGGATATTTTAATGCATTGGTTCTGTCGAGAAGCATATCATCAGCCACATCGGCCAATCTGAACTGCAACGACTCGGTACGGAATCTCATGTTCTCAGAAGGAATGTGACCATCCAAGAAAATATTGATACCTTCACGAACATTCGAAGGAAACGTCACCACACCGTAAATGGAGGGTGCACCGTACAAAATACAGATGAAATCAGACAAGTAATCCAACACAGACAAATCATGCTCCACACAAATGACATAAGTCACTGGGTCCAACAATGATCTGATGATTTCAGCAGCTCTCAAACGCTGCTTGACATCCAAGTACGACGATGGCTCGTCAAACATGTACACATCAGCCTTTTGGATCACCGTCATACCAAGAGCAAAACGTTGCAATTCTCCACCAGACAAATCGGCCACATTACGATCCATGACACCGTGCAATTCGAGAACATTAAGAACATAATCCCACACTTCCTTACGTTCCAACTTCAGTTTCAAGATACCAGAAACATCCTTCACCGGCGACTTGGCAAGAGCTCGAGGAATATTATCCACGTACTGGGGCTTGATGATAGCCTTAAGATCATCCTCCAAAACCTTGGTGAAGTAATTTTGCAATTCAGATCCACGGAAATGCTTCAAGATATCTGACCAGTCTGGTGGATCATCGTAACGTCCCAAATTGGGTTTCTGTTTACCAGCTAAAATTTTAAGGGCAGTACTTTTACCGATACCGTTAGTACCTACCAACCCTAAAACACGGCCAGCTCTTGGAGTAGGAAGTCTGTGAAGTTTGAAGGAGTTGGCAGAGTATCTGTGAGTGGTCTCGGCATCGAGATTTGTAGGCACATTGATGATATTAATGGCGTCAAACGGACATTTCTTCACACAAATACCACAACCGATACACAAAGTTTCGGAAATAAATGCAATTTTTGAAGCCGGGGTCACTTCAATACAAAGTTTACCGGTCTTGACCACAGGACATGACTTTCTGCATTCCTGTTTACACTTTTTGGGCTTGCATCTGTCCGTAGAGACAATGGCGATTCTCGTGTTCTTGTCACTCATACTGAAGAAGCAGTGCGGCGAGCACAAATTTTTCACAATATTAGTGCTCCAGATTACGCACCAAATAAGAAAAGCGGCGTAAATTTGAGATTGTTACTAACTGCCGCCTTGTGATTGGTGGAGAAAAAAGAAAAAAAGAAAAAAAGTCAAGAAACGAGTATGCGCAAATCTGTTGTTTGCGAAGAGAAAGCCTAGGCAACTTATTAGATGCATACTTTCAAGAACGCTACAAATTTTCGTGGGTATTCGTATTGGTCTTATACTATGTACAGGAACAAAAAACTTACCCGGACGGCGTTATCCGATATATATTTGAAGCAGATCCGTATTTCAAAAACTTCCGAATATTTCTTAGGAGATGAAGTAAGAGGTATTTTAAAATGTTGTTTTGACCCAGTTTTTGGGCTTTGGTGTGATTTAGACATAACTGCATCATGTGGATGAATACGATTCGATTAATATGACCAATATGCCATTTTTAGGGGGCTGTTTTATCAGCAATCGTTCCCTATTTATGGTGTTGTTTTGGTGATTTTGGTTCTTTGATGTATTCCCGGAACCGGCAGACCCACAGTATTTGCTTAATGGGCGCTAAAGTTGGTGAAGTGAACTTGCGAGATCAAATTGATCATATCGCCATCATCAAGCTAGTACTGAAACAACTAGGGGCGCCACTCGAGAGAAACATGTACATGGAAGTACCATGTCAGCAGATGTGCAATGGACATGAGCATGTTTGTCTCAGAGTGGATATGATTTCGGTTGTTGGCTTTTGGTTTTTCGGGATGGAAATGACAATGACTGATACACTGGGCTGGAACAGGTGGTGGCTGCAAAAATGAAACCTGATGATTGAAGAAGTGTTTACTTGGCGTTTATTGATTTGATATGCGCTGTCACCAAGTAACAGAGGTCGTTCTACATGTTAGAAATACTGTTGTCATCACCAGTCTTTCACATCTTCAACTACTCAGCGTGGGAATGTTGACACATGCCACAACTTCGCCAGCTGCTTGGTGATGTGCTCACTCACAAGACACTTTTTCTGGCTGAGAGACTACAAAGTAAACTAGAGGCTACTGCGCCTCGTTGCCCATAACATAGATGGACAGTTCCCTCAGTGTTCAGCAGAAACCTTCTCGAAATGCACTGATGAGCACGAAGAAGTCTCGGATTCAGCTCAAAACTTTCTAGCTGGTCATATCTGCCAAAGCCGACTCGCAGAATCCCCGCTCAGCCCAGGCGTACGAACTACTATACTCCTTAAAGCACAAGAATGTATTTGAGATCAACCGTTTAGGTTGCATTAAGATCTACCTACAGCTAGACCACGTCGCAGACACATTGACCGTCTCCTCTACACCTAGAATAGTAATACCATATCTACGCAGTACGAACAATTAGTGTCCCGTAAAAAAAGTTCGGCAATTTTTGTTGATCGCGCAGACAAAGTTCAAGTGGGTACGGAGCTAATTGGTTTCCACCACGATATAAAAGCCATTAGACTTGTCTGAGCACCTTGCAAGTAACATGGCTAACGTAATTCCAGAAGCTGAGCTTTATCCTGAGCTTTATGGACTTAGGAGATCTCACCGTGAAAAGCGAGCCACCATTGTTGAAAGTGAATCTGAAGATGAAAAGCCCCAAAGAAAACGAAAACGGGATGTGGACTCGGATGTGGACGACGACGACATTGGAAGCGATACTGAGGGCAGCGACATTGAGTTTGGTGTGACTTCCAAGCCAAAACGTTCAACTAGAAAACCGCCCAGCAGATCGAAAAGTCAAACACCCACCGTGGCCGAGGTTCGATTCTCGTCTCGGAACAGCCGACTGGTTAACTATGCGGTTGACACTGAAAATGACGACGATTTGCTAGAAAGTGGAGACGAAGATGGCTACGACGATTACTACTATTTTCAGCAGGCCGACCAAGAAGTGGAAGAACCCAAAAGTATTGACATGGTTCTCGACCACAAACTCAACCCAGACAACGCCGAGGTGACCCTGGACCCCAAGCTTGACTATGTGTTTCGTATAAAGTGGCTGGATGCGCTGCATCTTCACAATACTTGGGAACCATGGCTGGTGCTCAAGCTGTATAAAGGGTTCCGCAAAGTAGACAATTACATCAAGCAGTACATTTTGTTGGACCAGGAGATCCGGTCGGACCCGATGACCACCAACGAGGACATAGAAGCCATGGATATTGAAAGAGAACGTCGTCGGGATGAGCAGGAAGAGTACACCCAAGTCGAGCGGATAGTCGATAGCGAGCGGATTGAGGTTGATGGAGAAAGTCAATTGCGTTACTTTTGCAAATGGAAACGCTTATATTATGACGAGTGTACCTGGGAGAACGCCGAGGAAATAGCACGGATGTGTCCTGAGCAGGTGACAAGGTACCAGCAACGAGTCAACCTGAAAATACTACCTTCTACTTCGGCCAATTATCCCCAGAACCAACGCCCGCGCTTTGAAAAATTGGTGAAACAGCCGCTTTTCATCAAGAATGGTGAGCTCCGTGATTTCCAACTCACCGGACTCAACTGGATGGCTTTCCTCTGGCTGCGAAACGAAAACGGTATCTTGGCAGACGAAATGGGGTTGGGAAAAACCGTACAAACCATAGCTTTCTTGTCGTGGCTCATCTATGCTCGCCGGCAAAACGGACCTCATTTGGTAGTGGTACCTTTGCTGACGATTCCAGCATGGCAAGAGACGTTTGAAAAATGGGCTCCCGACGTCAATTGCATCTACTATCTTGGAAACACAGAGTCTCGTGCAACTATCCGAGACTACGAACTTTACGATGGAAAGAAGATAAAGTTCAACGTTATGTTGACGACTTACGAGTATATTCTCAAAGACCGTAATGAGTTGGGGTCAATTAAATGGCAGTTTTTGGCGGTGGATGAAGCTCACCGGCTCAAAAACGCAGAGCTGTCGTTGTACGAGTCTCTTAGACTGTTCCGAGTTGCCAATCGTCTCTTGATCACAGGTACTCCTTTGCAGAATAATATCAAGGAACTTGCCGCTTTGTGCAACTTTTTATTGCCAGGACGGTTCAACATTGATCAAGAAATCGATTTTGAAACTCCTGATGCCGAACAAGAAAAGTACATCAAAGAACTCCAGCAGAACATCAAGCCATACATTTTGCGACGTCTCAAGAAAGATGTGGAAAAGCTGCTTCCGCTGAAAACCGAAAGAATTCTTCGAGTCGAACTCTCCGACATGCAGACAGATTACTACAAGAACATCATCACCAAAAACTACTCTGCGTTGAACGCCGGTAACTCAGGACTGCAAATATCTCTTTTGAACGTTATGGCCGAACTCAAGAAAGCTTCAAACCATCCATATTTGTTTGACGGTGCCGAAGAAAGAGTGCTTGGAACCCTGACATCGTCTGCTAATCGTGAAAGTGTATTGCGAGGGATGATCATGTCTTCGGGTAAGATGGTTCTCTTGGAACAACTTTTGACTCGGTTGCGTAAAGAGGGCCATAGAGTATTAATTTTCTCGCAGATGGTTCGAATGTTGGACATTTTAGGTGATTACCTTTCTATAAAAGGCTACGCATTCCAGCGGTTGGATGGTGGAATACCTTCGTCTCAGCGTCGGATTTCCATTGACCATTTTAATGCTCCAGACTCTCGAGATTTCGTCTTCTTGTTGTCCACCAGAGCCGGTGGTTTGGGTATCAACTTGATGACGGCTGACACTGTCATTATATTTGACTCGGATTGGAATCCCCAAGCGGATTTGCAAGCCATGGCTCGTGCCCATCGAATTGGACAAAAGAACCATGTTTCCGTATACCGATTTGTGAGCAAAGACACCATAGAAGAAGAAATTTTGGAGAGAGCGAGAAAGAAGATGATTTTGGAATATGCCATTATTTCGCTTGGTATCACGGACCCCAGTAAGAAGAGCAAGAGCGAGCCAAATAGCAACGAGTTGAGTCAGATCCTCAAGTTTGGAGCTGGAAATATGTTCAAGGCTAATGATAACCAAAAGAAGTTGGAAGAGTTGAATTTGGATGAGGTGTTGAACCACGCAGAGGACCATGTGACCACTCCAGACTTGGGAGAGCTGAATCTCGGTTCCGAGGAGTTTTTGAAACAATTTGAAGTTACAGACTACAAAGCTGATGTCGAGTGGGATGATATTATTCCACAAGAAGAACTAGCCAAGCTCAAAGATGACGAGAAAAAGAAAGCCGACGAACAGTTTTTGCAGGAGCAAATTGCAATGTACTCTCGTCGTCGTGCTGCCGCCAAGCAATTGGGTGTTGGCGAGCAAGATGAAGAAGAAGACGAAAATATTTCTTCAGACGATACCGACAAGAAGAAGAAAGCCCGCAAGCAGCATATCGATAACCATGAGTTATCTGAAAAAGAGATCCGTGGTATCTACCGTTCTATTTTACGGTGGGGTGATTTGACTGGAAGATGGGAACAGTTGGTGGAAGAAGGTAGTATTTCCAACAAGAATCCAGTTTTGATCAAGCATGCTTATAATGAGATCATTTCGATGTCGAGACAATTGGTGAAGGAGGAAGCAGCTCGTAGGGAAGCCGCCATGGCCGAGTTGGAGCGCAAAGCAGAGGAGCTGAAAGATCTGAAAGAAGTCAAAGATCTGAAAGAACAAACGCCAATGGCATTGTGGATGGCCAAGAAGAAGGAGAAAAAGGCTGTTTTGTTCGAGTACCATGGGGTCAAGAATATAAATGCCGAATTGGTGTTGATGAGACCCAGTGATATGCATGCACTTTCTGACTTGATTCCCAAAGCCAAACCGGAGAGTTTTGAACTTCCAAGTTCACCAAAGCAGGTAAGTTCGTGGACCTGTGACTGGACAGACAAAGATGATGCTATGTTGATGGTGGGAGTGTACAAATTTGGCTATGGTCTGTGGGTGCAAATACGAGACGATCCTGTTTTGGGGTTACAGAACAAGATTTTTTTGGAGCCTCAGGGCGGGAAAGAAAAGAAAGACGAAGGAGAAGCTGACAAGAAAGATAAAAAGGTTCCGGGAGCAGTTCATCTAGGAAGGAGAGTAGACTATTTGTTCAGTTTGATCAAGGGCGAAGAAGAACCTGCGAAAAAGCGAGTTAAAAAACAGCCTACTAAGCAGGCTACAAAGCAATCAGCAAAGCCGGCTGCAAAGAGTACAAAGGTGAAAAAAGAGACAAAGAAAGAAGCGAAGAAATCGCCCGAACCTCGCCCCAAAAAGCCCAAAGTCGCCAAAAGTGCCACTAAGGGAAGAGCATCAACCTCTCCGCCAGCTAACTCTCCTGCCCATAGCTCACATACATCAGAAACCGTCGACAAAAATGACGATCTTGAGTATGCTAGCATGGACGAATCTGACTGTAAAGATGCTTTAAGACCAGTTTCCAAGTCATTGATGAAACTACACAAGGGCAACAAGGGCCTCGACAAGTCCGAGTGGGCGCACATTCTCAAGTCAGAACTTATGACTATTGGTGAACATATTGACAAGATTGCGAATGAGGAACAAAAACGCAATAAGCATTTATGGTCGTACGCCAGTCTTTATTGGCCAGCCAAGGTTCCTTCACGAAAGATCCACGACATGTACAACCGGCTCAAGGCAAAATCATAAACAATACATAGGTTATATACGAATTTTCTACATGATATCTTTCGCCTCGTATATACCAATTTGCAGCCGGCCAGATTTGATTTCCTGCACTGCCCATCGCATTACCCGCCTTCGCACCCAATGAAAAAAAATTTTAGTTTGTACTTCTACAAAAAAACCCTCCACGAAGCCTATCCTTTACGCTTCAAAACAAACGTAAATCCATAAAAAAACCCAAAAAAAAATCCCCACCATGTCTGACCTCCAGGAATCGTTGGAAAAGTTGTCCATCAACGAAAAGGCCCCTCAGGCTCCTGCCGATGACGCGACACCTTCCAACACCACCACCTTGGAAAAGGAGTCTTCTGAGTCCGCAGCTGCCGCTGCTGGAGAGGGAGCTGGAGAAGAAGGAGAAGAGGCTTCGGCTTCGCTCTACGTGGGAGAACTTAACCCATCGGTGAACGAGGCTCTTCTTTTCGAGATCTTCTCGCCTATCGGTCAGGTGTCGTCGATCCGTGTTTGTCGTGATGCTGTTACCAAGAAGTCGTTGGGTTATGCCTATGTGAACTTCCACAAGCACGCCGACGGATCCCGTGCCATCGAAGAGTTGAACTACTCTTTGGTGGATGGACGTCCATGCCGTATTATGTGGTCGCAAAGAGACCCTTCGCTCCGTAGAAATGGCGATGGCAACATTTTTATCAAAAACTTGCACCCTGCTATTGACAACAAGGCGTTGCACGACACCTTCTCTGCTTTCGGCAGAATTCTTTCTTGTAAGGTTGCTACCGATGAATTGGGACAGAGCAAGTGTTTTGGATTTGTACACTATGAGACTGCCGAAGCTGCCGAAGCTGCTATTGAAAACGTTAACGGTATGTTGTTGAACGACCGTGAGGTGTTTGTTGGTAAGCACGTTTCTAAGCGTGACAGAGAATCAAAGTTCGAAGAGATGAAGGCCAACTTTACCAACGTCTACGTCAAGAACTTGGCTCCTGAAGTCGACAACGCCAAATTCGAAGAGATTTTCAAGCCTTTCGGCCCTGTCACCTCGGTGCACTTGGAAACTGACCAGGAGGGTAAGTCTCGTGGATTTGGTTTCGTCAACTTTGAGAACCACGAATCTGCTCTCAATGCGGTCAAAGAAATGAACGACAAGGAAATTGATGGCCAAAAGCTTTACGTTGGAAGAGCCCAAAAGAAGCGTGAAAGATTGGACGAATTGAAGAGATTATACGAAAGTACTCGTTTGGAGAAGTTGCTGAAGTACCAAGGTGTTAACTTGTTTGTCAAGAACTTGGACGACAGCATTGATTCCGAGAAATTGGAAGAGGAATTCAAGCCTTTCGGTACCATCACATCTGCCCGTGTCATGGTTGATGACGCTGGTAAGTCCAAGGGTTTTGGTTTCGTGTGTTTCTCTTCTCCTGAAGAAGCTACTAAGGCCATCACCGAGATGAACCAACGTATGATCCAAGGAAAGCCATTGTACGTTGCCTTGGCTCAACGTAAGGACGTTAGACGTTCGCAATTGGAACAACAGATCCAAGCTCGTAACCAAATGAGAATGCAGAATGCTGCTGCTGCTGCTGGAATGCCAGGCCAATTCATGCTGCCTATGTTCTACGGTCAACAACCAGGTTTCTTCCCACCCAATGGACGTGGTGGAGCTCAAGGACCTTTCCCACCTAACCCACAAATGATGATGCCTCGTGGCGGACAAATGCCTCCTCCTCAAGGTCAATGGCCTCGTGCTGGTCCTAACGGACAACCAGTTCCCGTTTACGGAATGCCACCAGTTTATGGCGGAGAGTTTAACGGACCCAATGGTCAAAGGCAACAACGTGGAGCATACCCACCTAACCGTAACCAAAAGGGTGGCCGTCCTCAAAGAGATTTGGCTGCTATCATTTCCACAGTTCCAGTTGACCAACAGAAGAGAATCTTGGGAGAGGAATTATACCCCAAGATTGTCGCTACTGGTAAGGCACAAGAGCCCGAGGCTGCTGGTAAGATCACTGGTATGATGTTAGACTTGGAGAACGAGGAGATTTTGGCTTTATTGGAAGACGACGAATTGTTCGAGAACCACTTTGAAGATGCTTTGACTGCTTTTGAAGAGTACAAGAAGGGTGAACAAGCTGAGTAGGTGCTGTGGCATGTATTCTATTGAGATGTAATGTAATAGTTATTGGAATGGGATAATAGAGTAAGTCGTAGATAGTGTGCGGCGCCGGAACATTATGGAAGTGCAATAGTCCGCGATGATAAAAAGTGAAGAATTGAAAATGAATTGAAAATGCTTCACTTTTTAGTGAAATTTGAATAAATATGCTCAACAATGGCTCAAATCGTCAACCACTACACATACAAGTTTCATATTTGATATCTTGGCCGTTATCGACCACGACGGATTATCTGCAGGACAAGAATCTCCAACTTTCGCTGCGTTTCGGCCCGCGCTGTTGTCATCATTGCTACCAATATGGCTGACTACAAAGCGTTCCCAGGTCCTCGTCAGGAAGGTCCTGCTCAGTTTGGAGATGCCAAGCTCTCGGGTCGTGTCATTGATGTCATGGCACTGCTTCCAGCTACGGTCAATTTCGAAAAAGACCACATTAAAGTGGAGGCAGCTCGAGGCAATCTGGCACTCTATTCGTCGTTTTTCTATCTCCAGCAACATACCGAGTGGGAAACACACTTGGTAGGCTGGGGAGGTGCTCCTGGCGGACTTTCGGACGAATTGGACAAACTGCAAGAGGAAGCAAGGAAGAAGGATGCTACGGCTGCGCTTCAAGAAGCATGTGGCAAAAACGTGCATCCCGTATGGGCACCTTCGAGTTCTGGATCCAAACCCAAATGGATGCAGTATGCCGATGATGTTCTCTGGCCGGTGTTTCATTATATTATGCCACAACCGTCGGATGGACGAGCAGAACATGAAGCATGGCGTGATTATGTTCGGTTGAACGAAATCATGTTTAACAAAGTCAAGGAGCTTTATAAGCCAGGCGACTTGATTTGGGTCCATGACTACCACTTGCTACTCTTACCGCAATTGCTTCGCATGGAGTTTCCTGATGCTGCCATTGGGTTGTTCGTTCATATTCCTTTCCCATCGTCCGAGTATTTTCGAGGAATTTCCAAACGGCTGCAAGTTCTCGATGGAATGCTCGGTGCAAACGTAGTGGCTTTCCAGAGCCAATCGTTTTCTCGTCACTTTGTTTCCTGTTGTGCTAGAGTATTGGGCCACGAAGTGGCTGCTGGTATAGTCATGGCCTATGGCATGAATATTGCCGTGGACTGTTTGCCCATTGGTATCGACGTTGACAGGATTGAACACGACGCTTTTTCGGACAAAGTAGAGCAAAAAGTCAAGGCTCTTCGACAAGTTTATGCCGGGAAAGCTATCATCGTTGGTCGTGATAGACTCGATAGCGTTCGCGGCGTTGTACAAAAACTCGAGGCATACGAGACATTCTTGGAAATGTACCCCGAATGGCGTAACCGAGTGGTTTTGATCCAGGTACTGCTGAAGCCTCAAGCGCATCTGATCGGACAAACTAGACTGGTGGCCCAGTCGAATCTGGTGCAGCGTAAGGTGGAAGAGATGGTATCTCGGATCAATAACATTTATGGCTCTCTCAACTATTCTCCCGTGGTACACTACCAGATGAGAGTTGACAGAGATGAATATCTTGCTTTGCTTCGTGCTGCCGATGTTGCGGTTGTTGCTAGCGTGCGCGATGGAATGAACACCACTGCTTTAGAGTATGTTGTTTGCCAGCGTCACACAGCAGCTCCTCTAGTACTTTCCGAATTCACAGGTACTTCTACGGTGTTGCAAGATGCTTCGCTAGTAAATCCATGGGATGCTGTGGGAGTGGCTCGTGCTCTTCACGATTCTCTCACGTTATCGGAGACCGAACGAGCGAAACAGGAACAACAATTGTACCTGCAAGTAACGTCCAACACGGTACAGCAATGGACTAATGCATTCATTGGTCGGTTAGTGAAACACACTCTGGAAGATGCTTCGCACCACACTCATCACACCCCAGCATTGGACCGTCCACTTCTTTACAAATGTTACCAGAAAGCATCCAAAAGAATCTTCTTTTTCGATTACGACGGCACTCTTGTTCCCATCGTTCGTGATCCGGCTGCTGCGATTCCATCGTCCAGGCTCAGTCTGCTTATAGATGCGCTTGCTGAAGATCCCAAAAATCAAATATGGGTGATTTCTGGCCGTGATCAGGCATTCTTGGGCAAGTGGCTTGGTGACAAAAAGATAGGGTTATCTGCAGAGCATGGGTGTTTCATGAGAGACTTTGGGAGGACCGAATGGATAAATTTGGCAGCTGAAACCGATATGTCGTGGCAAGAAGTGGTGGAAAGCTGTTTCCGTCGCTACACTGAGAAGACACCAGGTACAAATATAGAGAAAAAGAAGGTTGCTCTCACTTGGCACTATCGTCGAGCCGACCCGGAATTGGGAGTGTTCCAAGCCGAGAAGTGTCAAAAAGAACTCGAGGAAACGGTGGCTACCCGCTACGATGTAGAGGTGATGGCGGGCAAGGCCAATATCGAAGTTCGTCCTCGTTTCGTGAACAAGGGAGAGATTGTCAAGAAACTCATGGCTCTTCACGACGACCACAATCCTCCGGAATTTGTCCTTTGTCTTGGGGACGACAGAACCGACGAAGATATGTTCCGGAGTTTGCTTGAGGTACAAGAACAGTGGCACAAGTCCGACAAGCCGAAATTGTCGCCCAATGGATCATATGGAATTTTCCCCGTTGCTGTGGGACCAGCATCGAAGGAAACGGTTGCAACTGCGCATTTGAGCGACCCATCCCAGGTGTTGGAAACATTGGGATTATTGACAGGACATGTTTCTCTTGAAGACACTGCCGGTTGCAGCTGAGGACCCTGTATGCAGACAATTTGCATGCACCATTTTAGAAATAGATTCAACATTTTGTTCCGGCCGTAAGTTCGCACTGCTTAGTTCGGCGAGTGGCCGAGGTATAAAATAAGTTTATTTCACTTGATTCCTCTTTTTTATTTCTATGGGTATTTTTCGGTGGGGTTTCCGTGCCAACGTCAAGGTACATTCCGGAAGTGATTCCGTGGTTCTCAAGTCACGCAATGACGACAACCAAACTTTGAAAGATTTAATTGCAACAAAGGTCTCGCTTGTAGACCCGAGTAAAAAACTCTGGCTTAATCCACTTTTGTTTAATGGAACACTTCAGACCCTTTACTACGCCTCGGCAAAGTCCGACGACAAGTTTTTGGTTTGGTACGGAAGAGAACTCTACCATTTTGTACAGGGTGGAGTGTGCTCTTTTGACTGGGTAATTCCACCTCAAGATAAAGAAGAATTCGACAAGTTATACAAGGAGACACTTCCGGAGGGATTCCCAAGGCTTCATCCCCGTACCAGGTACTTCACAGAAACCGAATTGGAGAAAGTTCGGGCGGTTGAGGTCGAGAACAAAAGACCAATCTTGGCAGTTATTCATGGTTTGAATGGTGGTTCCCACGAGCCATTGATTCGTGATTTGGCCGTGTTATTGACCACCAACGACCACCAGGACAAATGGGACGTCGTGGTGCTCAATTGCCGTGGGTGCTGTCGTACAAAGATCACCACTGGTCAACTTTTCACCGCCTTGTCCACCGAAGATGTCCACGAGACTCTCTCCGAATTGCGCCGGCGGTACCCCAACAGACCAATATACGCCGCTGGATTCTCTTTCGGAGCGGCAATGCTAGCTAATTATTTGGGAGGACCTCATGAGAACAAGGTGGATCTCAAGGCCGTGAGTCTTGTGGGGTGTCCTTGGGACATGGTCGCTGGAGTCAGTCACATGGGACTGTCATGGCTGGGAAGGTACCTCTTTGCTCCTGCTCTCACCACTTTCTTATTCAAGTTGGTGAAGAGTAACTACGGAGAACTCCAGCGTCACAACCCAGAGTTTTTCACCGACGAATTGTTGCACAAGTTACGCACAGAAGTCAAAGCTCCAGACCAGTTCGATGATGTGGTCACCAGTAAGTTTCTTGGGTACCGGAACGCTTTGGAGTACTACAAGGAAGCTTCGCCAGTTCACAGAATCAGCGGTATCTCTGTTCCTACTCTAGTGGTAAATTCGACAGACGACCCCGTTACCACCTGTGATCTCCCAGTGGACAAGTTCAAGGCCAACAAGCACACTATATTGGTAGAGACCGATTTGGGTGGACATTTGGGTTATGTTACGAGCGATAAGCAATTTTGGTGCAGCAAAGTGGCCGAGCAATTTTTCACCGAATTTGAAAAATCGGTGGCATAGATTATAGAGATAGAACTACGAACTAAAATGAATTTAAGGACTTGACTATAGGTTTCATTACTAAGCCTGGACTTAGTTTTCTTCAGATTTTCCTCACATTTTCTTTGGCTTCTTCAACGTCCCTTTTGGTTCCTCTTGCGCGCGGCGCGGCAGCTCAGCCGCATGGAAGATGCCGTGGTGAAGGGATGTAATGCCAGGCTGCGCAACATCTGACGGTTATCTCACAGAAAGTGTTTTTTTACTTATTTATTTTCCAAAAACTTACGATTTATTATTGAAGCTTAGAGTCTGGCTGCACACAGAGTACACTGTCTAGTCGCTTGCAATAAATAGCAACTATAGATTAAGAAAGTTTGTGTTCTGATTGTGAATTTTGAAGTCACTTTCTAGACACAAACTGAAATACTCACAGGGGTTATACTATGGTCAAGTTACCCCTTTTCGAGCTCCGGTTGAAGACTAATCACAAAAACCTAATTCTAGTAAAGGGCAACGAAAATGAAGTGGAAAACGTGCCATTCCAAGGGTCGGTAAAGTTTCTGATTCCCAACGATATGCATGTCAAAAGAGTAAAGCTCAAGTTGGTGGGCGACTATAATGTTGATTACATGCAAAAAGTGCCCGGGGAAATAGTTCCGGATGCCATCATCGATCATTTGTGTGTGTTGAAAGCAAAATGGGCAAACTTGTTAACTGACAGTGCTGGAGTTATGGAATACGGAGACTATGGAGACCGGTTTATACGCATGCTGAAATTGGAGAAGAAGGGAAAAACTTCGACTCCGGATGGAAGCCGTCCTGCCGTTTTGAAATCAAAGTCACAATCATCAGTGGTGAGAAACCAAGTATCATCGCTTGTAAAATTACCCAAGAGTGGTGTTGACGGTACCCCATTTGCCGGGCAAAAAACCTCATTTCACCATCTGTTTCTTCTTCCTAAGGGAAACTACAACCTTCCTTTCAGCATTATTCTTCCAGCAAATGTGGCTGAAACAGTCGAAGGACTCAGGATTGGCCGCATTCGATACCGCTTGGAGTGCACTATCGAAAGAGGTATCTTTGACAAGCCAATAACTTTGGCGAAGCACGTTAGAATTGTCAGAACTTTGCATCCTCAATCACTCAATCTTACCGATCTGGTAGACATCAATAACAGCTGGCCCGGTAAAGTTGAGTATCGAGTAGAAATGCCACGGCGAGGTCTTGCCGTTGGATCCTCTGTTCCAATTCGGTTGGTGATCTTGCCTCTAGCCAAGGGACTCAAACTCAAAAGTCTTAATGGTTGTATTGTTCAACACAGTCATGTTGAGCATCTGTGGGGAAGGTCTCCTGAGTATGAGGAAATTATTGGCAAGCAAGACTTGAAAATCAACCCAGGACATGCCGAAGAAGACTATTGGGACATTCGAACCCAATTTCATTTACCTGAGAGTCTTTCCAAACTAACTCAAAGTTGCGAGCCGAAATCTGGAGCCATTCTGGTGAAACATAGAGTCCGCATTTCTATCCAACTCCTGAATCCGGGCGGACATGTCAGTGAGCTTCGTGCTAATCTTCCCGTCTACATATACATAAGCCCTAACAGCGGAACGGTGACTGGTACTCACTTGAATGTGGAGCCTGTTCACAGCAATTTCGTCGAAGATGGAGAAGATACTCTTTTCAAGCATAACACGCGAGAGCAGGAAGATAATAACGACATGGATCGAGAAGACTCGGCTCCGCCATTGTACCAGAGTCATGTTTTTGATAGAGTCTACAGCACCACCACGAGCCCCGTTGGTCTGGCTCCGACAAGTCCAATGCCGATCATACAATTGAGTCCCTCACAAGAGCCAGATAGTTACTTTTCTATCACCACCAGTGGGTCTCCTCAACTGGTCAGGTCACCAAGCGCAGGAACACCACTTCCTGATGTGCCTCCAATTTACGAGGACGCTTGTGACGAAGACGATGGTGAAGGTATCGAACTTGCACCCACTTATAGTGATGGACTGGGCACAAGGTCCATGATTATGAGAGCATACCTGGCAGAAGCAGAGGGTAAACGGTTCAAGTTGAAGTTGGGAAAAAACAAACATGAACTAAAAAAGGAAAAGAAAGATGACAAGAAAATCAAGACCAAAGGAAATTAGACTATAAAGGAGGATAGATTCAGGAAAAGATTATTAGATATAGATGTAAAGGAATTTAGAACCTTTTCAAGAATACAAAATAACAAGTTATTTGCTTAGAGTTAATAATGATTAAGGTCAAGATTTTGTCTGGTATCTTCCATGTATCTTGTACCTTCTCTGTTCTGCTACTCCATTCCTGCACACTCATTATCACTTCTCGCCGCGTTGCATCTTTATTTCTTAACACTCACACCTCCACGTTCAACATGTCAGTTCAGGTTCCCGTAACTGATCAACGATCGACCGCCACCATCAAGATTGCAAACTACCTCAGAGACAACAAAATCTTGAAAATGAGAACTGGTCTCTTGAATAATACCAATGACGTGGACTTTTTCAGGTTCAAGCGAATCATTCGGGCACTCACATCTGAAGATTATAAGAAAAAACAGAGTAATCCAAAGAACGAGCTTATTCCCATTGAGAGCGACCAAGAAGCTGCCAGAATTTTCATTCAGTTGGTTCAAAACCAAATAGTGACCCCGGTGGAAAAGCTTCATTACGCTGAAGTTAAGCAGTATAGAGGTTGGAAACCAGACCGTAATAAACCCACGTTGAAGCCAACCACCAGGGCTAACCTTGATCCTAATGCTTATTACGTATGGAACTACACCAAGCCAAACCCATACATGATGCTTTACGGATTTTTGATCTTGGCCGGTGCGTTCGCCGTGATCCTCTTCCCCCTCTGGCCTGCAAAAATGAAGTTGGGCGTATGGTACTTGTCCATGGGTTTGCTTGGGCTCATTGGTTTATTTTTCGCCATTGCCTTTGTTCGTCTCATCATATATGTGGTGACGTTATTGACGATGAAACAGGCGTTCTGGTTGTACCCCAACTTATTTGCTGATTGCGGAGTGATTGAGAGTTTCAAGCCCTTGTATGCGTGGGAGGAAGACAAGAAAAAGGCAAAGAAATCAAAGAAGAAAAGAGCCACTTCTCAACCCTCTGACACTGCAACCGGTACTACTACTGGAGCCTCGACCTCTAACGCAAATGCCACCCAACGCAGAGTTGTCCTCGAAGAAGTGGACGAGTAATGGGCAGTTTATAGAAGTACGGGAACATCTTGCTATCAAATCTTGTCTACCCTTGCTATTAAAAACCTTGCTATCAAAAAGCTAATATTTGCTCTTATCAATACCATCTCTGGTGTTCTGTATATTGTCTCATCACTTGTCCTGTTCTGCGAAACCCGAACCCTCCCCCACACAATCGATGATAAATGACCTTTGTTTCAACCAGGACGCCACCTGTGTCTCGGTAGCCACGTCTACGGGATACAGCATCTATAATTGCGATCCTTTCGGTGAATTTTATTCCAGCAAGGGCTCGGCTCGTGGCCCAAAGAATTCTAGTTCAACTTCCAACGACCATGATAACGGCGTGGATTCGTCTTCTGGAGCTTCAACTTCAAGTCCAACCGCGTCTGTCAAGTTGCTATTTTCCACTTCCTTAACTATAATAATTCCCCAGCTGGGTCAGCCTTCAGGAGACCGGTTGATGCGCATATTCAATCTTAAACAACGGCTTAAAATCTGTGAATTGACCTTTCCGGTGGGTATAGTCGGTGTAAGACTCAATAGAAAGCGGTTGTGTGTTCTTTTGTCATCAGGTCAGTTGTTCATCTACGACTTGGGATGCGTTAGATTAGTGAAAGTACTAGAACTAGATCCCGATCATAGCTTTGTGGGAGACTTGGCTCCGGATGATTGCTCCTACTTGGTTCTACCCATGTCCTCCGTCATCAAACAAACGGATCTTTTCAATCTCACCTCGGCAGGAACCGATGCTGAGACAAAATGCGATTCCACTTCCAACAAATCCACCCCTCAGCTTGCTGACCTCATAGATATCACCAGCAAGAACCAGTCAGATAAACTTAAACATCCTGGACTCACACTTGAAGAAATCCACAAGGATTCGCCAGGTTGGATCATGGTGTATGACACTCTCGAGTTGCGACCACGGCTCATTTTTAAAGCCCACGATTCTCCGCTAGCAAAGATAAGAGTCTCTAACGACGGTGCCAGCATTGCAACAGCGCTGACAAAGGGCACTATTGTACGAGTGAGTCGTGTAGCAAAGAATGGCGACGATTTACATCTTCATCAAGTAACCAACTTGCGGCGTGGACACCAACCAACCAAGATCACATCGTTAGCATTCAGCGCAGATGGCACCATCTTGGGTTGTGGTTCTAAAAGTGGAACTGTTCATCTATTTTCAATAGGCAAATCTCCAATGGCTGGTTCAAGCTCCAATGGGGATGGTACCGATGCTAACCCTGATTCCGAAAGTGAAGGATCGTCATCAGATCTTAACGATAACCTCAAGAGTCTTCTCTTAACAAACCCTGACCAAGAGCAAAAAGAAAATGATGAAAACATATACACCCATCTCAAGACCCTTGGTAAGAGCTCCAAGTTGATCAACAACCACTATACAAAGACATTCATGAAAAAGCTTCCATATAAGAACTACCTAGAGAATTTGATCTGGGAACCACCTAGGCGTTCATTTGCCTTTGTTAAGCTAGCAGAGCACAAGCCAGACGGTGCTCACATGGAAATTGGCATCACCAATCAATTTGTATTTTTGGCATCGTATCAAAGTGGTACCATGTACCAGTACAAAATTCCAACCGAAGTCGATGATCAGAACAGAGTAGAATGCCAATTGGTCAACAGATACACATTATGGAAGGACAAGTAGTTGCACCCAGTCGTACTGCACATTGATCTGTTCCACTCTCACCGAGTTTCTCATCTGCACACCCAGCCGGGTAAGGTCCTGAAAAACCACAGAAAGCGGGGAGTTTCATCCGTGGAAACGCTTTCTCCTGCACAGTTCCGGCATTTAAGTACCCCATATGCTTCGTATCACTAATAAGGGTGTTACTCGTGGTGTAACTCGTACATCCTTGAGGTCTTTTTCTGTTTCAAACATGGCAGCTGCTCACGCTGAAGATGATGTACTTTTTTCCAACCGTGACTTGGCACGGGTGGTTACTCTTAATCGGCCCAAGAAGCTCAATTCACTCAATACACTGATGGTGCTGAAGATAGCTCCTCGTCTTGTGGAATATTCAAAAAGTTCTGTGGCCAATATGGTGTTGCTCAATTCCAACTCTCCAAAAGGTTTGTGTGCTGGTGGAGATGTGGCCGAATGTGCTTCTCAGATCAAGAATGAATCTAACCCCGGCTATGCCAGTGATTTTTTCCAGCAGGAATACAATCTTAACTACTTGATAGCCACCTATCCAAAGCCTTATGTGTCGTTCATGGATGGTATCACCATGGGAGGTGGTGTGGGTTTGTCGGTCCATGGTCCGTTCAGAATTGCAACTGAACGCACAAAGTTAGCTATGCCTGAGATGGACATTGGTTTTTTCCCAGACGTTGGTACCACTTTCTTCTTACCTCGGTTGGACGACAACTTGGGTCGCTTTTATGCCATGACCGGTAAGGTGATGAGCGGAGTCGAAGCTTATTACGCTGGCTTCGCAACCCACTATGTCACCTCTGACAGACTTGACCAGCTTGCTACAAGGCTTGCAAACTTGCAGCCCCCAGCTCTCAATGATCAGAAACCTGCCGACAACCACTCGTCTACCGTTTCATCCCAGCGTGAATTCTTTGCTCAAGTCAATTCTGCAATTGAAGAATTTGCTGCCACCAGCATTGACGAAAACCCATTGACCGTGGAACAGCAAAAGACTATCAAGAATGCGTTCTCCAAAAATACCGTGGAGGAGATTTTGGCTCTGTTGGATCAAGATGGCAGCGACTTTGCTCTTCAAACTAAAAAGACATTGATGACCAAGTCGCCTACCTCGCTTAAAGTGGCGCTTGAATTGATGATTCGTGGAGCTGAAAACACAATCCGTGCACAACTTGAATTGGAGATGATTGCCGCTACCAATATCATGCATTTGAGGCCTGAACAAAACGACTTCGTTTTGGGTGTGAGCCACAAGTTGATTGACAAGGTCAAAGAGCCTGCATTCCCCAATTGGTATAAGCATCCTAACGTGAGCGAGATCTCGAAAGAGCACGTTGAAAAGCTTCTCGACTCCTCGATCCATACTGCCAAGTTGAGCCACCCACTTCTTCAGAAATTTTTTGGCGTAAACTACAAGGAATATCCTCACCATATGGGTTTGCCTAGCGCCAAGCAGGTTGAAGACTATGTGACTGGCAATGACGGATCCAACCGGTCTTATTTGCCCACCCCTGCTGAAGTGGTCAAACACTTTCAAAGGGCGACAAATAACAAGGTTGGTGTTCAGCAAAAAGTGGAGCGCATCTTGGCAATTCATGGAGAAAGCTCAAAGTACGATAATAAATACGTATCGTGGGTTAAGTAAATAGATTTAAGGTACATAAATTAAGCTTTTCTTTTGTGTCTAGTGTACATTTACTTAAACTTTTCTAAGATCAAATCCTCACCCATTTCCTCATAATCGCTTTTGGTCACAAACCAGTTTTCGAGAGCAATGTTGAGGTTATCGGCCTCCCCGTTGTAATCGTTCAACATGCTGGCCAAATTCGTGGCACCTTTCCAAGCACTAAACTTACGATCCCATGTATCCTGAATATCTCCGATATGATGGTTGCCCAAAGTGCCAAACGTGATGTTTCTGCCTTGCAATTGAGGTGCGAAAAGTTGCCCAGCGGAACGGTAAAGGTCATTTAATATTCTCTGTGAGAACCCAGTAGTAAGAGACGAGCCACCGGTGATCAATATATTACCACAAAGCTCGCGCAATACTTCACCAAATTTGTTGGGAGTTTGATGTTCCCCAGCAAGAGAGCCTTCGAGGGTTTTCAAAGACGACAAGATCAACGTGATTATACCGTGGGTCAGCGGTTTGTCCATTGCGGGTTCTGGAATAGCGACACCAGGAATTTGATAAAGTTGTGGTTGAAACAACGATTCCATCAAGTCTATCTGTTCTCGGTAGACAGAGACATGAGAGCCATTGGGGAGTTGGTAAGATTTTGGAGTCACTGGGTATTGGTACTGATTAGCAGCGCCCTCTGCAACTGAAAGCATCGATAACTTGAAATCCTCAAGGGCATAGTGTGATATCTGGTAGTTCTTGAAAGACTCGGTTGCCTTGGTTGACAGAAACCGTTTGGGTAAAAGGGCATCAAGCCCACCATATTTCTGTAAGTAGTTGAGGGCGTGTAAATTGGCAAAATCACCTGCAAATTTGGATGAAAACGAAGACTTGGATTGAATTATACCATCGAGAATTGGTGTGACAGTAGCATTCGACGAACCAACATCTATGACCAAACCTGTTGATTTGCCTACATGGTACAATTGGACCAATGGCGTCTTGACAAGCGAAAAAATAGGTACCTGCAAAGTTTCAAATGCAATTTGAGCCGTCGCCATTTTGTTTTTTGGTGTGTTCCAATCATGTTGTGTTATCATCAATGGATATTCTTTAGGATCGACTCCATTTTGGTTATCCATATGTTTGTAAATATATTCCCAGTTATGCGTGATGTTTTCAAAGTTGTATATCAATCCGTTATCCATTAAAGTCATCACTTTACAATCGGGCCGACTCGATATTTCCTCGTCGCCTACTATAACTTTACCTTCGGAATCCACAGCGTAATTGGAGCTGAAAACGAGTGAGGGGAGATCCTCCAGGGCAAATCCTGCCTTGGTGGTGTGCGATCCATTGTCGATCACCACCGCTGGTGCTGTGTATACCATCAGTGTTGATTGTGAGAACCAGAAATTTCAACACCTTTGGATGGTTTATATGCAGTTTTTTAATAGCGCGAATGGGTACAAGAAGTCAGTTGAATTGGCAGTAAGCTATTGTGCAATATATAACAATAGAGGAAGAATGGTGGTCTCAATTTTTCATTTTGAGAGCCTCATTTTCCTTGCGTAGAAGTCCAATTTCTGCCAAAAGTCCCAGGCGATTTCCAAGACTCACCATTCGAAGAAGCTGTTCATTCTCAGTCTGTAACATGGAGATTTTAGTGACAATTTTATGTCCGAGCTCCTGAGGGTCATGTTGCCCAGAAATGGTTGGATTGCCTGTTGCGCCTCCAAGTGCAACACCAACCACAATGGCCTCTAACATGTCCTTGGTGTGGTTCAATTCGTTCTTTGTTTTCGTAAGTGTTTTGTAGGTTTCATTGAATAGCTGTTTGTAATTTTCAGGGAGCACCAAAGTTCCAGGCGACGCAGTATCGTCTTTCTCCAGTTCCATGGAGTCCAATTGTTGTTTGCGCAACGTCTTCATTGCTTCGATTTGAGCCGTAAGAGATTTGATGAGTTGTTCCTTCAATGCTAACTCGTTCTTAAGCTTGGAGGTATCCCGTTCCATTAAGTCTGTATCAGAACGAACAGTCACGCAAGATGTCCTGTGGGTGTAGGTGGGCAGAGTGTTGATGGTGCTATTTGAGACCTGATTCGACGATGGTGACGTGTAACTGGACCGGGGGCGATAGTTCTGTTCGGAACCGCCAAAATCAAGCTCATCATCGCCATTAAGAAACGACCGAGGAAGAAGGCTTTTTGATGTACTACTGTGCATCAAATCGCTTGCAGCAGGGGCACTTGTGTTGTTTGTGGAGGTAGCATTGGATTCAGCGGAAGGAAAGTAGCTAGGAGCATTCATGTTCATTTGTGAGGCAGGAAGCTTCTGGTCCCAAATAGAGTGGGAGTAGTTTTGCACCTTCAAGGGATTTTGTCCCCAAACGTGGCCAGAATCGTTGGCGTTTTTCAAATCATTGGTGGAAGTTGGCGAGTATACAGAAACGCCCGGGCTAGGATATGAGCTATAAACACTTGAGGCATAATTATTGTTACCGAAATTGTTACCAAAAGTATTGGAGGCATAGGAGTTCTTGTTTTGTTGCATGTTGTCGAAAAATAGAAGGAGAAAAAGGGTAAAAGGGGGAAGTGCCAAATTTATAGTTGGTGGTTGCAAATGTGGATCTAGGGGACAACCCTGCGGGGCTCTGTGCAGGTTGGCTGCATTTCCTAAACGGGTTGGGCGCCCAAGTTCTGTAATACGAGGATGTTTATAAGGGCAGACTTACGGCAATTCGTAAGCGCTTTTTCCTCTATTTTTGCGATTGGGGTCTTGTTCCTGAAAAGTGCATTAAAGCTTAAACAAAAAAATTAGTTTAGGTTTCGTCTCATTAAGTTTCATACCAGTTTCTTCTGTTCATTATATCATGATGGTCTATTCTAATCTAGGCTATAGCACCACCTCCTATCATCTGTCTCAAGATCATACCATTAGGTGAAGCCAACACTCGCTGTGGCAACCCTAGAATACGATCTTCCAAATGGGAACCAGTTAAAAACTCAAGCATCGTATCTGTGAAATGGTTACAATTATTGTCGAAAAGATCATATTTGCTTGCGTGGTACTTTTTGTCTTCCCTAACATGAAGCTCTTGCAAGAAATCGTCAAGTATGTCTTTGGTGACATAGGTCTCACCCATATCTATCACCTCTCGTGGCGTGCCGTATTTGGTTGTTCCCGGACTTGCTTCCTTTATTCCTTGGTCGATATAATATTCTTTGCCATGAACAACAGTGGAAGTGTGGTAGATTCCATCAAGAGGAATTCCTAGTATTGCAGGTGCATACACGGCTGCAAGTCCATGAGATAGATCATACACATAAACCTTGACTGGTGCGGGGGCATCTTCTTCTTCTTGTGTCATGATTATTTGACACCGGGATGTTTTCAGGTAAACGTTACAAATCTGGCGGCGGCCGCCCTATTTTATATTCCACTCGATTGCCACCACCGAGTTTCGCTAACAGTGTGCATCCAGTGCACCAGGTGCTTTGTGGATGTATGAAATTTTTCTCCACGCATTTTTGTACGGGAGCTACCCTAGGATGATCTGCATGCCTTTTTTTGTTCAATAACCTCAGACAATTAATGACAGCGCCGTTCTTCAAGCAGCAGGAAACCTCTGTATACAAAAAGCAGCTTGAGGAGTACCTCAGCCGCAAGAATATCGACCAATCGCTCATCTTGGGGTTCACCAATCTGCTCCAGTCGAAGCTCCAATCATGGATTCTTGCTGATTTTAACAGATACTTCGACTGCGCCCAAGCAGGAGAAGATGTGGACTTTGTCACCATCAAGTACTTTGAGTTTTTGTGGTCCGAAATTCATTATCCAATAATCAAGTTCTTTCAGTCGCATCACGCTGAATACTATAATCAAAATTTGCAGGAGTTCAAAAAATGCCAAAATGAAAAGACCTCTTTCAAGTTGAAGTCGGTGGAAATTCGCAAGATTAACGAAGCTTTTTTGAAGGTGGTTCAGCAATTCCGTTCTTTCTACATGGCTCTCTTGAAGCATTTTCTGACGCATTTTAAGAACCCACTTCTTCCTCTGCACTTTCTTACCCATTTTGGGTTTATCGTGCCTTCAGCTGCCATCGATAGCACCAATGCAAATGTCCAAGCAAATTTGACTTTTTTGATTCATAGGTGTTTGCTCTGTCTAGGCGATTTGTCTCGGCATCGTGCGTTTAACGAGATTAACTACGTCTTACTGTGCTCGTCGCAGAAGATGTTTCAAAAATATCGTCTATATAAGGCTAGGGACCAGATGAAACATAAGACTGCCAAAGACTTGCAACTCATTAACGAGTGCAAGGATCAGAGTTATTCTGCGCATGAACCGTCCATGAATTTTTACAAACTCTGCATTATGCTTTTGCCCACGCTCCACGAACCATATAATCACATTGGAATGATTCACAACATAGTGGGCAACAAGGTGGAAGCATGCTATTGGTTTTTACGTTCACGTTTCACTCGTATCCCAAACTACGATTTGGGTTTAAAGAATCTCGAATCTATTATGGTCAAAAGTTGGTTTCAGGACCAATTAGGTGACGCATTTAAGAGCAAATGGCAGGGCGGTGATTTGCATCTTACTTCTCAAATAGTGCTACTCAATTTGATCGGGTATCATTACTTTCCTCAGAGATATCGTCATGGTGAACTATTGTATGGCAACGAAACATACGATAATGTGGAGCGTGAGTACTTGTCGTTTGAGTTTTCTCAGTCGCATTTTCAGCAATTGATGTCAACGAGCAGTGAGTATATCAATCATTACGTACATTCATTACTGTTGCTCATCATGTTCAGCGAGTTGTTGAATGAGAACAATAACCAGAAGCTTTTCAGGCTTACCAAACTTTACATCAGTGGCTTTCTTGCACTCGTTGAAAGTATTGATTTAAAGACGGAAGGGTTTGAAGGCTCTTTAGTATTCTTGAGACTCGCTTTGGCGTATATCAAAGAAAACAAGCCATTTGCAAAATACTTTTTCCGTGACGCTGCTATGGTCGTCTCCTTATGTTCTCCCTTCAACGAGATCTTGTCTAAATGTGACTGGATTCACGAATCAGTGAGAACCAACCTGAAACCAACTCGTTCGTATTATTACACAGAGGATGTTGTCTTCAAAGATTTTCTGCCCATCAAGTACCAGTTCAAAGATTTCAATGACGACGATCTTTTTTCGAGTGGTTCAGTCGATTTGTTAATGGGCAAAACCGAGATCACAGAGGATGAACGGATCGAAAATACTAGTCAGCGTGCGCTCGCAGTTGTTCTACTTTGGAGAAAGTTGTTACAAAAGAGTAAAGCCGTCAAGTTCGACGAGTCTCAGTTACGGTTTGTTGCATTGGAAGTGGTCCCTGAGAGCAAGAAGAGCAAGAAGAAAATGGAGAAAGGTAAAGTGAAAGATGTGAAGCAGAGTAAGCAACCTCAAGCTGGTATCACCATAGCCCGGAAACCAGTCAAGGTGCTTAAAAAGGTTCTGGGTCAGCCTGAGACAGGAGCTGAAAATGTACAGCCTGTGCAAGCACCAAGAGCAATTGAACCTACTAAAGGCATCGATGATATTGAAGCTGTGATTCGTAACCACACCAACATGTTGCAGAGCGAAATAGCCGAGAAGGCACCTGTGGAAAAACGTGAGGAAACGATGGACAAGATGGTTAGCAATTTGGTTGAAGATTCGGATGGGAAGTCTACTGACGCCAAATCTACTGATGGAATTTCGACTTCCAGTGGACCTATAATGGCGACACCCCTCCAACCTCATTCAGCCCCAGCTCCACAATTTCCAACACCAGAAATGGGGTATATTGGCGCTATGCACCAGGGCCATTTTCAGCAGCCTCTTCAGGCGCCTCTTCAGCAGCCTCTAACTGGACACGCAGTACCACATCCCCAGCCATATTTCAACCCATTTCCTGTCAATAATCCCCACGGAGTTCCGCCTCCTCCTCCACCGGGATATATGCACGGACAAGTTCCTGGTCAATTTCAGGGCCAGCCTCTAGCCAATGGGATGTATGGACAAAATGGCTATTTTCAGATGGCTGCGCCGTATGGTTATTCATACCCCCCACCTCAGTGAGGGAAATGAATGTAGTTACGATGTATTAATGCTACCGGAAGCTCCTCTACGATTTTTAGATTTTCTGTCACACCTTACACCAGTAGATTCATTCTTCATTCGCATCTCGCAACGCCGCAACACGCGCTCGTTCCTGTACAACGTTCTTTGGCGAAGAATCAAATCACTCCACTTTCTTCATTTCTTATACTTTCCACTCTCGCATCCCATGTCCATAACACATCGGACCAATAACAAAACGTACAAAACGGAAACTCCACCGGCTGATGCTCCAATCGAGATTCTCAATCAATTTTATTGGACAAATGAACAAGAACCTCATGTGCAACGCAGAAAATTGATCCTAAAAAGACACCCCGAGGTGTCCAAACTCACCGGATATGAACCCAAAACCAAGTGGTATGTCATTGGAGTCGTTTTGCTCCAACTAACGGTGGCGTATCTTCTTCGGAAAACGCCTCTTAACAGCTGGAAATTCATAGTCACCGCATACGTGATCGGAGCCACCGCCAACCAGGCGATTTTCTTGGCTATCCATGAGCTTTCCCACAATCTCTTGTTCAAAAAACCAATCCACAATAAACTCTTTGCTATATTTGCAAACATCCCCATTGGAATTCCATACCTGGCGCTGTTCCAGCCATACCACCAACTCCATCACAAATTTTTAGGCGATGCCTATCTCGATACCGATCTTCCCACTCACTGGGAAGGCATCCTTCTCTCCAATGTGTTGGGAAAGGTTTTTTTCGCCTGCTGCCAAATCTTTTTCTATGCTTTACGTCCCATGTTCATCACCCAGATCCAGTTCACCTATATTCATTTACTCAACATTATTGGCCAAGTATTGGCTGATGTGTTGGTGGTCAAGTTCATGGGTGTCAGAGCCTTGGGCTATTTCATAATGAGCTCGTTTTTGGCGGGTCTGTTGCACCCTTGTGCGGGACACTTTATAGCTGAGCATTATGTGCTCAACGAGAACAACAATTCCCGGCGGGAATTCGATGCCAAAAAGGTCAATATTCCACCTGAACTTCTCCCAGCAGAAACTTACCTGTACTATGGACCCCTCAACAAGCTCACTTGGAACGTTGGTTACCACAATGAACACCATGATTTCCCATACATAGCCTGGACAAAACTCCCCGAATTGCGCCGCATTGCTGCTGACTTCTACGACCCCCTTCCTCACGTTGACTCTTGGTGTGGAGTCATCTGGTGGTTCTGCTTCAACGATGTCAATACACTTTGGAACAGAGTCAAAAGAACAGGCAAAGAAAAGCACGGCACCAAGGTTAGCTGCAAATTGGACGAGAACTGAAAAAGGGCTGCATTATACCTCTATAAATTACGTATGAGTCGAGTAATGTCATCCATACCTCCTTTCTTTGACTCTTCAATCTTCTTCTGCACAACTTCCACAATATCTTTAACATCTACAAGTTCTCCCTGATCACTGTCTTCTCCCTGTCCCAAAACCTTTACTCTCAACTTGCCTTCCAAGTACTCTTCTTTACCCAAAATAACTCCTATCTGAGCACCAGACTTCTCAGCAGCGTCGAATTGCTTGCGGATATTGGCCTTGGCTTTGTACAAATATTCAGTATTGATTCCTGCTGCCCACAAACGTTGTGCTATGGCCATTCTCTCCTTCAAGTAGCCGTTCCAGCCTTCTCCACCTCCAAAAGCCATTACAAAAGCTTGAGTTTTGGACGCACTGACTTCGTTTAGTTGCTTCTGAGCACGAGCTTTGATTATGGAAAAGAGACGCTCCACACCAAACGAAATACCGACACATGGTATCGATTTACCGTTGGAGAACATACCCACCAAATTGTCGTAGCGACCACCAGCGGCAATAGAACCAACACCAACGTATTCACTGGCATCTTCAACTTCTTTCTTGTCTTTCTGGGCCTTTTGTTTCAACTTTTCAGCGTCGGTAGGAGGCGCAGAAGCCGCCGTAACAGCTTCGTAGATCAACCCGGTGTAATAGTCCAAGCCTCTAGCCAACGATAAATCAAAGCTGATAAAGCTGGAGATTTCAAATGCATCCAAATAGTCTGCCAAAGTTTCCATGTCAGCAATTCCCTCTTGGGCACTTTTGTTGGCGGTGAGAAGCTCGTCGTTTCGCAAAATATCCAACACTTCTCTAACCGTACCGTTGTGCTTAACAAACTCTCCAATACGGTCTGCCACTTCCTCGGGCTGGTTCTTCTCCTTCACCATTTCGTCTTTCACTGCTTGCCATGGCAACTTGTCCAACTTGTCGACAGCCGAGGAAACCTTACGAACATCTTCGTCTTGAACTCCACAAGCTTGGAAAATACCATCCAAGATTTTTCTGTGGTTCAATTTAACCTTAAAGTCACGAATGCCAAGCCCAGTCAACCCTTCGCAAAGAAGCTGAAGAATCTCTGAATCAGGAATCATGGAATCGTACTGCCCGGCAATATCAAAGTCGCATTGGTAGAACTCTCTCATCCGTCCTTTTGTCATGGCTGGTTGGTCTCGTCTGTATACCTTGGCAATGTGGTATCTCTTGATGCTGCTGATGCTGTTCGATGCAACAAAACGTGCAAAAGGTACCGTCAAGTCGTATCTGAGAGAAGTTAATTCTCCTCCTTGATCTTCCAAGTTGTATATCAATTTGGAATCTTCACCATATTTGCCAGTCAAAATCTCTCTCAACTCAAACACTGGCGTGTCTATGGTCACACCTCCGTGTTTCTGAAACAAGGTGCTCAAACTGTTGAAAATAGCTTCCCTGAAGATCATGTCCTTGTCGGCCCAATCCTTGGTACCTTTTGGAGTCTTCAACAAAAATTGCTCCAGCTTCTTAGACTTCTTTTTTGAGTCTTTTGGTTTCGTAGACTTGCTCTCCGCGGCCGCAGAAGCCATTGGGGCAGTGTTTGCAGCTTCACTCGACATTCTCCTAATACTACGTACTGCAGAAATTCGAAGGTATCGAAGCATTCAATGGTGAAAAATCGTCACGAAGTGTGTACAGGACCAAGACCGGTCTGAGTCATGGGAACTATGATACATTCATCTGGTCATATATAGGTGCATTCAATGCACTTTGTACAAACATCTAATCTCCGTTGATCTCTTCAACTAATTTAGTCTTCATTGATAGCGTTGCTTTTAGCAAATCGTAATCTCATCACTCCATCACTAAGAATACGCTTACCCCAGTCTCCGGCTGCGGGTGCACCAGTTTCGTCTCTGCACTGTTTGAGGAAAGGCAAAAGCGCCGTGCCTCCGGTCCCTTTAGCTTCTGAACCACTCTTCTTAGACTTGGCAAGACCTGAGCGCAATGTCATACTTGAGCCCATCTTGGCACTGGATTTGGCCTGAAGCACAATGTAACGGGTAACAATCTGGATGTGTTTGTCTCTGAACAGCTTGAGCATAGCAAGACATGCGTCGTAGCTGAGCACGAGAGCTGGGTGGGTGTCCTTATGAGCAAACACATAATCACGGATCTTTGCATCTTGCTGTATTTTTTGCAAGAAGTCCTGGTGCTTTCCAGGCATATATCCTTTCATTTCGTCCATAAATGCATTTTCCGGTCCTTCGGTCGCATCCTGCGAAGTGGGCAATGGCCTCTCACCTGTAGAGTAATGTTTCACCCCAAGCAAAATGTCAAAGAGCTGAATGAGCGATGACTGAGCATTGGAACCACCGGCGTATGCTCGTGGAGTGGTTTCGGGCTCGTAAAATATACCGCCTTTGCTCAATCCTGCGTCACCCATATTCTTCCATCCCGCAAAATACGGGCGGATACGAAAGTAAAATACATGAGGATCACACATTTCTTCCATGCGCATCATTTCCAGCCCCAATGCATCGATGCTCTCAGCCAAGTTTTCAAGGCTGGTTTGAACCTTGGCTGGGTTATCTTCTTGAGTGCCCTCAATGGCCGCCATACCTGCTTTGATGGCAAATGAACCTTTCATCTCAAAGAAAATGCTCACCAAGTAGAACCAGCTCTCGTCGATGGATCCAGTGAAGGTGTTGATGGTTGTCAAGTTGTCCAAGTCCCAGATATTTTCGCCGGTTTTCATGATTGGTTTGAAGTTCCACAAGCACAAAGAAGCGTAGGTGGCAAGAGGAGGAAGCCGGAGGTGATTGGCCACGACCAACATGGGTTCTGAAAGTTGCACCGGGAGTTTATCTCTGGGCTCATTGACGCCCCATATGTATGCTTGGGTGAGGAATCCAAGAACCTGGTATGCTCTTCTGTACTCTCGCTCGTTTGTCAATTGGTTGGTGTCGAGTTTGGGCAATTGATCTATCAATGGCCTGATTTTCTTGGACATAATGAGGGCAGGTAAATTGTTCACCAAGTCCTCCCATGGTTGGTAGTAAGCTTGGGGAAGCTTTTCAAGAGGAAACTCTCGAGGAAGAAACCCCGTTTCCGGGAAAACGTCGTACTTTTCCATATAAAATTTGTGTGGCTAGTTAAGATTAGGTTTGAAAAGTAGCGAGAAAAAAAAAGAATTGGTAATCTTTATGACCTGCATCACTAATCGGACATTGCGGCAAGTGCGAACGGACGTTTAAGGCCGCTCGGGAATAGGAACCAACGGTAAAATGTTGCGGAGAAGTACGTTTCCATGGGCATCTCTGGTTATCCCCAATTCTAGTAGTTTGGCGAAAGCATCAGCAAAATCGTCAAAAAAGCATTTTTCGTCATATGCGTATCGAACCACATGGCTGCGAAATTCTTCATCTCTCAACAATTCCATATCTGTATTTAGCATCATGAGGCTTTTGTCTCGGTTGTAGAACTGGTGCCTGCCAGTCTCTGGAACTGTGTCCAACACCCACTCTTCTTCGAGCAATGCCCGGAAAAAAGCATTGGTAAAAATCGTGGGTGTGCGAGTCCACTTTCCTTCCCAACCACTGAGCCTTTTATGGCACCGCCCAATAGCATGACATCCAATCAATGCCACAGCTTCTCTATCGTTGAAACCCATTCGTTCAAACGTTTTTCGAACGTGGTCGGCATCTTTTGATCCAAATGGTAGACGTCCGTTTGGAGGAACATACCAGTCTGTAGGACAATCTACCCGCCCACAAATCCACTTTATGGTAGGACCACCCATATGCTCAATTGCAACTTTTCCCGCTAGTGTCCACAAGTCCGAATAGGTTATCCTGGGGAATTTGAACTTGACGGGCTCAAGAGCTGCTCGGGCCATGTCGAGACCATAGTTTCCTTCATCTGTCATTTCGGGTAAAAATCTCATTGTGGACCCATTGGAGCCTCCAGTACCACTTTCCTTGTCATAAGTCGCACAGCAGTGCCAGGCTAGTCTCACAATGATGGGAGCCAATGAACCATCGTCGTGGCTTTCGAGAGCGAACACACTGCGAATACTTTCTGTGACTTCGTTGATGTAGTTGGTGTCCGATCCAGCAATTGAGGTCTTGATTTGACCGAGAGCGCGAGAGCTAGCTTTGTTGGAGACCTGGAGCCTGAACTTTCGATGCCCGGGAATTTCAACACTGACTATCTTGGACACTGGTTTGGTGGGGGCCGCTGCTGCTCTGGTGGGGGGTTTAGTTGGGGTGGCCATGGTGGAGCCTATGGAGGTGAGGCTCTTTTCCGGTGCTGGAGATGACAAGTAACTTCTTTCGGCAAATGAGTGGAATTGCTCTGTTGCTGCTTGAATAACTGCTGGAGCAGTGAAATGGTTTTGTTGCTGTACAGATTTTTGAACTGAATTTGTGGTCTCGTTTACCGGGTTTGACTCGGTGATAGTGTGGTCAAATATCGACACTAGTGCCGATACGTGGTTGCTAGCAATTTCGTTGGCATTGAATAGCCTATATCTCCAATTTCTGAGTCTCAATCTTACTCGTTGAAAACGTGATACATTCGGAGGACGGCTGCGAATCAACCATGTCAGTGATCTCACCACGATCGAAAAATATAGCCTTATATATAAATACAAGACAATTATGCGCTTTAAAACAACCTTAAGTGTGAGATACACGGAAGATCTCAAGGTTCCCGAGGGAAACTGAGGGTTGATCTCGGTTTTATAGTTGGGTGCCATAAGTATTTGTGCGACTGTTGCAAATTAGCGGTGCGCAAATACGTCGCAAAAATAAAATACTAGGAAACGAATTTGAAGAGAGAGGAAAAATCTTTCTTTAACGGATATATATTAATGTACATATTACCATGTATAACTTGATGTATACAATCAACATTATCACTTTTGTCTAATTTTGCACCCAACCGCCGAGACCAATAAAATCAGCGAAAATTTATGAAGCTCAGCAACACACTACCCTCATACATTCTTCAGTCCCTTCTCTTCTCAGAACCCCGAAAACTATACCTCCACTCCCCCACTGGCCCCTACACTATTCTCCCTACCACTTTCCGTCTTGGCCTTTCGCACCGCCCGCGTTACCCGGACCCGCGGTCACTGGGAGCATTCGGCTCAATTTCACGCACCGAGATACTCAGACGATTGCCACTTCCTAACCAACAGAAGCCATGTCCTTCAAAGGAATTAAGAAGTCCCTTGTGAGGGCACCTCAGAACTTTCGTCAAAAGCTCAATATGGGCGAAGTTACTCAGGATCCTGTTTATATTGATGCTGAAAGAAGGTTCAAAGAATTGGAAATTGAGACCAAGAAGCTCAGTGATGAGTCCAAACGGTACTTTAATGCTGTGAACGGCATTTTGGACAACCAGATTGATTTTTCCAAGGCAATTGAGGAAATCTATAAGCCTATCAGTGGAAGGGTTTCTGACCCCAGCAGCACGGTTCCTGAGGACAATCCCGAGGGAATCCAAGCCAGTGAGCAATACCGTGAAGTGGTGAAGGAGCTCAAGGAGACTCTTAAACCAGACTTGGAATTAATCGAGAAACGGGTGGTGAACCCAGCTCAGGAACTTCTCCAGGTTATTCAATCCATTAGAAAAATGGCAACCAAACGTGACCACAAGCAGGTTGATCTTGATCGTCACAAGCGAACTTTCAAGAAGTACGAGGACAAGAAGGAGCGAACTGCCAAAGATGAGGAAAAGATGTATAATGCTGAGGCAGAAGTTCATGTAGCACAGGAGGAGTACGACTACTATAATGAGATGTTGAAGAATGAATTGCCGGTTTTGTTCCAGATGCAATCAGACTTCATTCGTCCACTTTTCGTCAGTTTCTACTACATGCAATTGAACATCTTCTATACGTTGTACCAACGCATGGAGGAACTCAAGATTCCATACTTTGACTTGAACTCCGACATTGTTGAGGCTTATCACTTCAAGAAAGGAAACATTGAAGAGCAAACCGATGCGATAGGAATCACCCATTTCAAGCAGGGACACGCCAAGGCCAAATTGGAAGCAACCAAAAGAAGACATGCAGCAGCTGGTGCCGGAGCCACTGGCTCCCCTGTTCCCGGAGAACAGCTTCCACCTTACTCTCCTGACCAGGGACAATATGGACAGTACACTCAGTATGGACAACAGCCAGGTCAACCGCAGTACGGACAACAACCAGGTCAACCGCAATATGGCCAACCTGCTCAGCCACAATACGGACAACCTGCCTCGCCACAATATGGAAAACCTGCTCCGCTGTATGGACAACCCGCTCAACCACAATATGGTCAAGCATCAACACCAGTTTATGGTCAAGCACCAGCACCAGCACCAGCTTATGGAGACTACAAGAGTCCGCAAGGACCAGGTTACCAGTCGCCTACAACTGCCGCATCAACATATTCTTCTCCCCCTCTGGCCCAAAGCGTTCCCTCATACGGAACGCCTGTGACACCTGCCTCTGCCGCACCCGTTCCAGCGCCCGTTCCAGCTCAGGCCCAAACCTGCACGGCTCTTTACGATTACACGGCCCAGGCGCAAGGAGACCTTAGTTTCACAGCAGGAGCTGTAATTGAAGTTGTTGACCGTACCAGTGACGCCAATGGGTGGTGGACAGGACGGTACAATGGCCAGACCGGAGTCTTTCCAGGAAACTATGTACAATTGAATTAGATAAAAATGAATGTAAAAGTCTGGGGTAGTGGCTCGGTCCGCCCAGTGCACCAGCTAATAATAGCAATTGTTCTAGACCGCGCACTACGGGCCTGCATCTGCCCTGCATCTGCGCTGTGCAAACAACGCTCACAAGTCATCCATGCCAACAGAGGCACACTTCAGTACCAAAAACTTTGTTATTGTGTTGAGTCTCGTTGACGTATTTTTGCAATTCCGTGTGTACAGGTCTTTCTCGTGAAGCTTGTTTTGTTCTCAAATTTTGATTTGTTTATTTATAACATCTCCCGTCTGAACTCCGTGTCCGTTGTTATCAGCTGCGGTTTTTTGAACCGTTCCGACGAGTATTGACGACGTGTTTTAACCCCCAGATCCCAGATGTCGCACGCTCTGTCTCCCACAAACCGCAACTCCATATTTGGATGGGTAAAGAACCTCAAGCGTGGCAGTCTCATGTCTTCGGACTCTGTGAACGACGTCCAAGATCCCCTTTCTGACCCCGATGACCCTTCCCAACAACAAGAATTTTTGCGCCCGCTCCTCCAGCACAAGTCTCGGTCCACCAATAACGTCAATCGAGCCCGATCCAACTCGAATAACCAGTCCGAACGCAGCTCCAATTTGCGCCAGCATCGTGATTCTTTCCTCCAACACAATCCCCTTGTAGATGAGAACAGCCAGTACTTTGGCATATCGCTTGATCGAGCGATAGACCTCGCATCGGCCAAGATCTCCATCTTTGGCACCACATCTTCTGACCAGATGCTTCAGTACGGCCGGATTCCCGTGGTGGTGGCCAAGTGCGGGGTGTATTTAAAGACTAATGGCCTCAAGGTAGAGGGTATTTTCCGCGTTGGAGGCTCATCTCGTCGACTCAAAGAACTACAATTGGTGTTCAACACCCCTCCTGAATTTGGCAAGAAACTCTCATGGGACGGGTTCACCGTTCATGATGCTGCATCTATCCTTCGTCGCTATTTGAATGCACTTCCAGAGCCGCTCATACCGTTGGATCTCTACGAAAAGTTTCGTGATCCGTTACGAAATCGGCCCCGGATTGTCAATTACATGAAGTATAAGGCTGAAAACCCATACAAAAGTATCAAGGATATTTCGACTTCCGTTGCAACCTCGGGAGTAGCATCATCAGAGCTGTTGGATAAATCTGAGCCGTTGACGGAGACGAACATGGGTCGCTTCAATCAACAACGTGAACCTATATATACATCAGACCCACGATCACAAGATTTCCCTGCCACAAATGATCAAACCAAAGATTGTACAAATGCATCATCATCTGCACCTGACTGTGATACTGATAGCAAAGAACGAAGACACCGCAACTATAAGAAACTCACGCGAGACGTTCATGATGCCATCAAAGATTATAAGGAAATGGTTGATATACTTCCTGACCTATCAAAACAACTTCTTTTCTACATTCTCGACTTATTGGCAATGGTGCAAAATCACAGCGATGTTAACTTGATGTCTTCTCGTAATCTTGCTGCGATTTTCCAACCATCGATTCTTTCTCATCCAAGCCATGACATGGATCCCATTGAATATGCACTTTCACAACTAGTGGTCGAATTCTTGATACAATATGCCTATAAGTTGCTACCCTCACATAACCCTGATGGCCTGCGCCGGTCATCCAAAGCTTTGCTGACTATGGATGCTGGCGAAGTTGGATCACCATTAAAACCTGCGTTCAAAAGGCATCACAGCAAATCACTTTCGTCAACCAATAATCAGGACGACTTTGTTGGATACCAGAATAACGTCAACTCAAAAGCACTTCCAATAGTGGATTCGGACCATGAGTATGACATATCTGACGACGAAGAAGAGACCCACACGCCAGGCACTGTTTCGGCAGCTGTGGCCATTCCCGTGCCATCTGCACCTGTGGCAATACTGGTATCACCACCAGGTGTGACCCCTCATTAATATCCTTGGAACCACCATTGTTTCTGGATACCGTGGTTTATTTGTATAATTACTCATGTCCTTCATTTTGTACGATACATAGCTCACCATACTTGAAAGGTTAACAAGTATCTTGTAATGTATGGGTGTCTGGGTCCGCTTTCCTATCACCAAAATCTCTGCGAAGTTGAAGTTTTGCAAACATGTCGGCCGAAGTAGAAACGAATAATAATGACATTGGAGAGGAAGTGGACGATCTTTTTGGAGATTCGGATCCTCAAACTGCTCAGGAGCCTGGATTGGAGGACGAGGACTCTCAAAGTGGCAGCGATAATGATGACGAGGATAAAGAAGAAGAAGTTGAACAAAAGATATTGGACGTTTCTATGCCCCGACATGCCGTGTCTTTCAAGGCAGACAATGATACGTACTTGTTAAAAATGCCTGTTTTCTTGAATGTCGATGCTCATCCATTTGATCCTAGTGAATTCAAGCAGAAAGTGCAGCAAAATTTCGAACAACGTAAGAAAAGTGACATGAGTCTGAAGCAGATACACAACGATTTGGTGGCCGAAAAGCTTCTTAATGATAACACAGTACGGTGGAGGTACTCCAATCGAGGAGATGATGAGATTATCAAGCAATCCAATGCGCATTTCATACAGTGGGACGATGGAAGTCTCTCGCTTAAGATTGGAAACGAGCTATTTGACTACAAGACGCTTCCTATAACCGACAATTTCTTAGTGCGGGCCCACGACGATTTGGAAATCTTGCAAAATGATGCCATTTTAACCAAACTGGTGAACTTGTTGCCCACATCCACCACGGCATCGACACACAGAAAGTTGACCCAGGCGGTGAAAAACATACAAAGAAAAGATACCATTTTAAACACCATAACCGAGAACGACCCTATGATGAAGCAGCGCTTAGCGGACGAAAACGACCGTAAGGCTTTGAAGTTGAAGAGACAACTCGAAGCGAAACGCAGACAGCAAGATGAAAAGATTGGAACCTCAGGTGTGCGTCGCGGAGACGATTACGACGACGAGGACCAACCAGCGTACGCACTGTTTGAGCAAAGATATGGCAATGAAGACTACGATATAGAGGATGATTTTGTGGACGATGGAGAAGAAGAAGAGGTCGAAGAAGATGAAGATGGAGAAGACGAAGAAGAGGAATTTGAAAAGGGAGCCGAACGCTTGAAACAACTCAAGAACGAGGGCGCCTCCAAGTATCGTAGCACCCCAGAAGGGGACGATGAGGAACAAAAGCTGAGAAAGAAAAGACGGATTATAGATTCGGATGAAGACGAGTAGATGTATGTAAGATAGGCTAATTGGCTAATAAGCACCACTGCGCAACAGACCATTATTGGGTTCAAACAAATTGGGTTCAAACACTTATATTGGTTGATACTGTTCATTCAATTATTTATTCATCAAGCCCATTCGCTACGCAGCCGCACGTCCGCCGCGGTAGATTGGCTCAAACGTTTACGAATTTCAATTTATGTCATTGGTTCTGCCGTTACGATTACTACTTTTGGGGGCTCCCGGGTCGGGCAAAGGAACCCAGACGTCTAGATTGCTCAAGCGTTTCTCCAATTTGCATTCTTTGTCTTCTGGTGATATTTTGCGGGCACAAATAGCCGCTAAGAGTGAAGTTGGAAATAAAGCCGCCGAGTTTATCAAAAATGGAAAGCTTGTTCCGGACTCTACTATGGTGGAACTCATAAACACTGAGCTTGAACTGAGAGGGTGGCTCAACGAAGCCAGTAGCTGGATTTTGGATGGATTTCCACGAACCAGAACTCAAGCCGAAGCGTTGCGTAAGGTGTTAATTCCTCGAAAAGCTACTGTAAATATGGTAGTTGAGCTTGACGTGGACCAAAATGTTATCCTTGAGAGAATTGAGGCTAGGTGGGTTCATGTTCCTAGCGGAAGGGTGTACAATTTGGACTATAATCCACCTAAAGTTCCATTCAAAGATGATATTACAGGTGAACCTCTCACGAAAAGATCAGATGACACTGCAGAGGTGTTCCAGAAACGGCTTGATCAGTATAATCTGGAATTGGGTCCGCTTAAGGAGTTCTACCGTGATCTTGGAGTCTTACATCGAGTTAGTGGAAATACGTCTGACACGATATACCCCAAGTTGGAAAGGTTGATCCTCGAAAAGGACAAGAAGAATGATATATAATGAAGAAGGACAGTAGGAAGTTAACAAAATGAAAGAACGAAGAAGGTATATGGTCAGTCCCGTCAGAGACATTCAATTCTGTATAATTTCAAGATGTATTAAAATAAATGGTTGTACTCGAAGTGAGAGTTCCACTTAATTCTCTTGTCATTCTCTTCTATTACTTAGTTACTTTTTCCACATTTTCTCTTATTCTTCCTCTTACTTCCTCTTTATCTCATCCCCACACCTTCGCACAAATCTCATCTCTTGATCCTCCTGGCTCCATGAAATTCTTCATCGATGACCTCCCGGTGCTATTTCCGTATCCAAGGATCTATCCCGAGCAATATGCATACATGAGTGATATTAAAAAGACCCTAGATGTGGGCGGGAACTGTATTTTGGAAATGCCTTCAGGTACTGGCAAAACCATCTCGTTGCTCTCTCTCACAGTGGCGTATCAAATGCATTATCCAGAACACAGAAAGATCGTCTATTGCTCTCGTACAATGTCCGAGATCGAAAAGGCATTGATTGAGTTGCACAAGCTCATGGAATATCGTGCTGAAGAATTGGGATATGTTGAAGACTTTCGTGGTCTCGGATTGACAAGTAGAAAAAACTTGTGCATACATCCCACTATATCGAAGGAACGAAAGGGTAATGTTGTCGACGAGAAGTGTAGAAGGATCACCAATGGTCAGCTCAAACAGAAAATCGAACTGGGTGCTGTATCCCCCGACCTACAAGCGAACAATCCTGAGGCATACACCCTCTGTAATTACCACGAAAACATGAACGATATGGATTCGCATAGCTACGTACCAAACGGTGTATATTCTTTCGATGGTCTTATCAATTACTCGAAAGAGAAACAGATATGTCCTTATTTCACCGTTAGAAGAATGATTCCATTTTGCAATATCATCATTTACTCATATCATTATTTGCTTGATCCCAAGATTGCCGAGCGGGTGTCGAAAGAACTCTCCAAGGACAGCATTATCATTTTCGACGAAGCGCACAACATTGATAACGTTTGTATCGAATCGTTGTCTCTTGATCTCACCGACGATACGCTTAAGCGTGCGACTCGTGGAGCTAACAAGCTTGGTGAAGCTGTGGACGAAATGAAAGCACAAGATTCCGAAAAGCTTCAAAATGAATATGAAAAGTTGGTAGAAGGACTTCGAGATGCAGAGATAGCGAGAGACGAAGAACTCTTCATGAGTAACCCTGCACTCCCACAAGACTTGCTCGATGAAGCCATTCCAGGAAACATACGGAAAGCTGAACATTTCATTTCATTCCTCAAGCGGTTCATTGAATACTTGAAAACAAGAATGAAAGTACTTCATGTCATCAGTGAAACTCCGCTCAGTTTCCTCCAGCATCTAAAGGACCTAACCTTCATTGAGCGAAAGCCACTTCGGTTCTGCTCTGAAAGACTTTCGCTCTTGGTACGTACTCTTGAGCTTTCAGAAATCGAAGACTTCAATGCATTGAAGGATATAGCAACGTTTGCTACCCTCGTTTCCACTTATGACCGAGGTTTCCAGTTGATTCTTGAACCGTTCGAAACTGATGGTGCCACTGTTCCAAACCCCATATTGCACTTCACCTGTTTGGATGCGTCTATCGCCATGAAGCCGGTCTTCGATCGATTTTCCTCTGTCATCATTACATCAGGAACAATCTCTCCATTGGATATGTACCCAAGAATGCTCAACTTCCAAACCGTTATCCAGGAATCCTACACCATGACATTGGCTCGTCGTTCATTCTTGCCAATGATAGTTACAAAAGGAGCTGACCAGGTCAGTATATCTTCCCAATTTGAAATCAGAAACGATCCTTCGGTTGTGAGAAACTATGGCTCTTTGTTGATTGAGTTCTCCAAGATAACACCAGATGGTATGGTGGTGTTTTTCCCGTCATATTTGTATATGGAGTCCATCATTTCTATGTGGCAGACTATGGGAGTTTTGGATGAGGTTTGGAAACACAAGTTGATTCTAGTTGAAACCCCAGATGCTCAAGTGACGTCGTTGGCTCTTGAGACGTATAGAAAAGCTTGTTCCAATGGAAGAGGTGCCGTTCTTTTGTCGGTTGCTCGAGGAAAAGTTTCTGAAGGTATCGATTTTGACCATCATTACGGTCGTACAGTATTGATGATTGGTATTCCGTTCCAATACACAGAATCAAGAATCTTGAAGGCTCGGTTGGAGTTTTTGAGAGACAATTATCAGATTCGTGAAAACGACTTTCTTTCTTTCGATGCCATGCGACATGCTGCTCAATGTTTGGGACGAGTTTTGCGTGGTAAGGATGACTACGGTATCATGGTGTTGGCGGACCGTCGTTTCCGTCGGAAGAAGAACCAGCTACCAAAATGGATAGCTCAAGCACTTTATGAGTCGGACGAAAACTTGTCTACGGATATGGCTCTTGCCAACGCTAAGAAGTTCTTGCGTAGTTTGGCGCAGCCTACAAATCCCAAAGACCAAGAAGGAGTTTCTGTGTGGGATATACATCAATTGGAAAAGTTCCAAAACGAGCATCAATTGCAAGTTGCTTCAGCCGACTTCAAAACAAATAAAGCCAAAGACGAAGATGGGTTTATGGACATTGATGAGGCAGACTTGGAATTGCTTTGAGTTCCATTAGATATGTTCTTCATGCAGGGTCTGTACCTGCATGGAAGCCGTCTTTCTCAAATTTACATTCTTATGAAGCTGTGCTATTGAATGTGGCCCTTGCAATTGTTTACGTAAATAAGGCTTATTGCGTTTATGACTGACACTTCCTCGGAGTACCATGCGGTCATCATCAATATAAGTACCAAATCCATCAGCGCTGGCTTTGTGGGGGAAGCAGAACCTGCGACGGTTCTTCAGTTAGGACCATTTAAAGAGTCCTGTGAACGAGCTCTTCCTCCATATTTTGAGTTAGACCACTCATTAACTGCATTAGAGCGTAAGAATATAATAGAAGGTTTGACAAGCGACCCTATACTAAAAGATCTCAGCGATATATTCACCACGGAACAATGCCTGTGGTTCCCACTACGTTCACTGCTAAAGTGTCATTCTTCGGCGACTCTCAGTCGAGAAGTAAGAGCCAAAGTTGTTGATTTGCTTGTGAATCGTCTTCTTGTGACTCCATCGAGAACAAAAATATTCTTGATAGACTCATTCATTACAGAGTCTTCAAAGAATATTATATACAATGAATTATTGTATGGGGTTGGCGTGCGCTCAATTTATTGCATTCCAGAGCCCATACTCACTATAGTGGGCGCCCAATCAAAACATGGTCTAGTCGTCGATATAGGCTGGGACAAAATAAGCATCATTCCTGTCATTGATCTTCGAATGGTCGAAGAGTGTGGTTACGAAAATTTCCGAAAACTCACAGGCACACATCTCCACTACTATACTCTACAAAAACTCTTGGAGCTAGAGAACAGTGAACTAACGGAGTCTTTACATTCAAACAGCTTTGAACTCGTAAACAATTTCATCACTGGTTGCATGTATTGTAAGCAGGATGGTGAAGAACAAGAGACTCAATTTACTTTTAGTGGTATTAATATTCCGAATGAAAAACGATATCAGCCCGTTCACGAATGCTTCTTGTCAAATCACGTCTTGTCTAAACGTATACTAAAAGTGGTTGAGCGGTGTCCACTAGATTATCGTTCAAAGTTGATGAACTCGATTTGTTTTACAGGCTTCGTAACCTCGATTCCCGGCTTCAAATCTAGCATCTTGAATCAGCTTCGAGAATTGACTTCGATAAAAGTTCAGGCCATAATGACACTTGGGCCTTATGCTGGCTATTCGCTTTATGGGTCTACTAAGCTTGTCAGGGAGGAATATAGTGCATGGAAAGCTTTTGAAGTTACGAAACGTACATTTGTCAAGCGTTGACTTCATAAACTACTGCGAAGCACCTCGACGAATACGCTATCTGATTCGTGGAAAATGGTAGCCACAGGATATAGGCGGTAGTAAATCTCTTCACTCACATCAAAAAGTAGCGATCTAACATACATCCACCAGCTATAGTTTTTACTCTTCAGCAAAGTTTGTTCACTCTGTAAATAATGCAAAAGAATGGATTCGTCAGCAGTTGGAGCAACTTGTGTATCGCAAAACGGTCCCGCCAACGTCCATGTCGGCTTGGAAGGAGGTAAACAAGAAAAATCGAACGGATCGTATGAATAGTTTAGCAATGGTGCTTCCATTAGTGGCTCGAATTCCACAACGACATACTCCCCAGGGAGATTTGCTTTCTCAACCAGGTCCAGAGAAGCACTTGTTATATCTTGAGACTGGTCCTCAAGTATTGAGCCTCCCTGAGATGTGTTTCTAAAGTTCCACTCGACTGGTATAGGTTTCTGTGGATATAATACGGAACTTGAATCATGATAAGCCTTCTCAATTGGACGAACACGCTTATTGTCGTGGTTCAAAGAAAGATTGACAAGCGCAACTGACTCAGCGATTGGTTCGGAAGCATTCAATTGTGGATTTATACGCATTATGAGGACTGTTCGATCTGTGAGAGCAAATGATCGCTTTGTAAACCTGACACAAATAGAAAATCTCCAACGAAAAACCGAGATGAACAATTTCAAAACTTCTTTACCTGATAGGAGTAGAACCGCTGGGTCCAACAGTAGAACCAGCGCCAGCTTGCAACTATTTCTTTACGTCGTTACTCTTCATCAACGTTCCAACGTATTCCTGAAGATACTGATTTTCAGCTGACAATCTGTTGCAGACCGTTCGAGTATCACGGATATTGTTGATTAACCTCGAGATCTCGGTCTTGGTACTAAGAATCTCGTCGATTATTTTCTGCTTCTCCAGATCCTCCATACCGATTCGTATTTTGAAATTTGAAGGAACTGGTATTGTTTTGCTTATGTAAGACGGTCATTTTGATAGGGTTGACCGGAGTCGCAAGTTTAAAACAAAGCATCAGTGGTCATAACTAGCAACACGATGTCGTGGGAAGGATTCAAGAAGGCTGTCAATCGGGCCAGTGCAGGTGTGACTGTGAAGAGTGTTGATAAAACCATAGACAAGGATTTTGATGTCCAGGAAAGAAGATATCAAACTCTCAAGGCAGCTGGAACAAACCTTCAAAAAGCATCCAAAGGATACTTGGATTCATTGAGAGCTGTCACAGCGTCGCAGGTTACGATTGCAGAGATTGTTTCTAATCTTTACGAGGAAGCTCGGCAAGGTACTGTGTACTCTGATGTGGGTAGTTATTACTTGCAATGTGTGAGGGATTTCGACGAGGAAACGGTAAAGCAAATCGATGGACCATTTAGAGAGACGATTTTGGACCCAATTACCAAGTTTTCCAACTATTTTAAAGAAATTGATGAGGGTATCAAGAAACGTGCTCATAAAAAGGTGGATTACGATATGTGTAAGGCAAAGGTACGGAAGGTGATTGACAAGCCTTCCAAGGATGCTGCCAAGCTTCCACGGACAGAAAAGGAGTTGCAAGTTGCAAAGGAGATTTTTGATGAGCTCAACGAACAATTGAAGCAAGAATTGCCTCAGTTAATTGCATTGAGGGTTCCATTTTACGACCCTTCGTTCGAGAGTTTGGTGAAAATTCAATTGCGCTTCTGTACTGAGGGCTACTCTCGGCTTGCCCAGATCCAGCAGTACTTGGATCCTGCCTCGAGAGATGAATATGCCAATGGATTGTTGGACGGTAAGGTCGATGATTTGTTGCAACAAATGAACGGGTTGAATATATGTGCCTTGGGCCATAAATAATTGCGCTGGTGATATATTGGTGTGTAATGTGATATATACGACTTGAATCCGATATATGGCGTGTCTCACTTTGTAGTCTCGCTTCTCCCTTTTTGGCCGTCTTCGCACGATTATGAACTGATTTTACTTAAACTTTCACCTGTTTGCAAAATAGTCTAAAATTTTAGTTGATTAGCAGAAACTCGACGATTTCTGATTCACAGTACACAAGCCTCCCT